ACAACAGTTCATAAATAAATGAATAACATATAATATAGAAATTAATAAGTTGTTTTAAAATGATTAAACACTTAAAATAAAAAGAAGTTAAGTAGGACAATTAATAACATTCTATAAGTAAATGAATAAGTAAAGTATGATAATGAATAAGTGAAGTAGAAAAATGTTGATATTATTTAAATTTCTAAAATTCCAAGCTTCTAAATTTCAATAAAGACCTCTTGATTACACTTATTGAATGATTTTTCCTAATATTTTTTATTATAGAGACTCATATGAACATAATTTATACTTTAGAATAAAACATAGTTTTATCATGAGAATTTTCTTTAAAAAAATATTTTCAATTCTTACAAAAAATTTAGGAAAGGTTCATTCAAGTAAGAATAATAATAAAATTTTGAAAGAAAGAATTAATAACAATTAAGTTTTCGATAAAATATTTTAAAAATAATTTTTGAGTATTGATTTCAATAGTTGTGAAAAAAAATTCAATTACTAATAATTTTTATATTATAATTTAAATAATTTATTTATTATTAAAAATCATGAATTTGTAACTGATTTAATTGTTATTAATTCGTTCTTTTGAGAATTGTCATTCTTTTAAAATACAGGTGCACGGCCTGGACTTGAATTTCAAATTTTGAAGCCCAATCTCAAATTGAATCCAGTACCTGTTAAGACGAAGTTCAATCCCATCAGCATCCATTTTCACGTTCCAGCCTTTAAACGGTGAAAAATAATCAATTAATTTTTTTATCACACGTCACAAAGTAGTTAAAAAAAAAAAAGTCATGCTTATCTTAAGTTTTGCTGAGCTTGTTAAATACTTATGGTGTGATTATTGTGGAGATTTTCAACTCATCAATAATGGAGTGCAGTTTATCGACAATATAATTAGTTGGAGTTATAGTATTTCAGGAAATCATTGAATAATTTTGTATCAGTAAGCCAATCTCCAATTAATATTAATTGGATGTAAAAGGAATAAATAATCATGAAATCCGATGAAAAAAATTACAAACTGCAGGAAATATTAATTCAAAGTTGAAACTAATGACATGATAATAACTTGTATTCCACATATATGAATCATATTAACAGCTAGGGGGAACTTGAGGAAATGTAATAATTAGGCATAGAGAGACAGACAATGATGACGCGTTGAACTTAAACAGAGGTTTCTGGAAGCCTTAGACGACGAAGGATTAGACAAAGTGAAAGTTAGTGTGACACACTGTGATCAGTGAAAATTGTGGAATGATGGATCATTAATTGGGATTAAGACCCTAAGGACTATATATATTAATATAATTAGGAGCATAAGTTGGGGTGGAAACACATAATTGCGAAATATCTGAGGGACGATTGTGTTTGACATCGTGTAGCTCTTTTACTTAGTAGAGTAAAAGTGCCAAGGTGGGCTGCTTTCGTTGAATTAAATTCGGCTTTTTGGCTTGACAGTGATTATGATCTTAAACGCCACAAGGGAAACAAGCTGCTTTTTTCTTTTCTTTGGGAAACATTATATATATATATATATATATATATATAAGCCAACAAACTCGAAAGTACATAAAGCTTGCAATTCCTTAATTTGAACGTCTCAATAATGGCTTCTCCATCAACAATAAGCTCCGAGTTGATACATCTATTTGGATGTGTCTTTCACTCATTGGTCTTTCCTTCTTCCAAATTCATTACGAAACTTCTTATCACACACACATATTCAGTCATTCCATTGAGCTCCATTGATCGTGTGACATGATGAGGGAGCCATTTTAAACCTTAGCTCTCATGTTGAATTCATATAAAAGAGAGTGAATTTTTCTCAAGATTGAATGTAGATAAAGCCGGATTCAAATGTTGTTCGCTGTTAAGATCATGTTTTAAATATACAATATGAAGTTGTATATCACCATATGAAATCGGCTGCATGAATCTTGTTCACTCATTTTCTAAATATAGATCAAATATTATTATCATGATAGGTTGATCAGTTGCATTTAAAGGCATGTTTGATAGTAAATTATTCTTTTTTATAAAGAATAAAAACAATGGGAAATGTGAAAAACAAATTATTTTTGCGTACACATGCGCACACACTATTTTTATCATCATGACGTAGAGCAAACCCTTTTTGTTCTGGCAAACACAAGTCTCTTTTTATTACTTCTGTCTAATTTAAGAAATCATACGGTTTTTTTTTTTTACAAAAAAATCACATTCTTATTTTCTTGATTTTTTTTTCTCTCTTAAAGATCCTTCACACAAAACATGCCTTAAATAATATAATACCCTATGAGCAACTTTGTGCCAACGAAACCTGAATTGCAAACCATGTTGGGAAATGGGAAATGGCATTCGGCTTTTTGAAAACACAGGAAAAGACCTAATCAACAAACTGATGTTGCCGGTCTAACATTAAAAAATGGCCAACCCTCCGTTTCTGAACAGGCCAATTGTCCTCTTTCTTTCAGTTTTTGTTAACTTCACAAGTACAATCTGTTCCCACCACACTAAGAATTATATTCCATAAGAGATAGCAATGAAAAAGACCCAAAAGTAGTTTTTCCCATATTAATCCACAAGATTCAACAGTGACATTGACGCACATGTCTGTTCCCTGTGTCCATCTTGACGACACAAAACTTGCTCCTGGAAGAATCTTTTTCCATTTTTTATACACAAGATGCGTTACACGCAAAAAAAAAAAAAAAAGGAATAATCACATTATTTTAAAAAAAAATGCACCACAAATTAAGCAAACAAGGCATTTCTGCACTTCACTGTTTCGACTGGACCGAATTGGCCTGGCCCAACCCCAGTCGAACCAAGGGCTGAATAGAGCTGGGTGGTCCAATATCTTGATCCATGAATGGTTTTCACAGTTCAATATTTGTCCAAATAATGCGCCCAAAAAAATATTGTCCAACTATAAGTCCATCGAGAGTGCCAGCTGCCTGCAGGCTATGGAGATTGGAGATATATTTAAATTAATTGGGTAAAATAAATGACTGCAAATGCTTTGAAGCTAAATAAAGAAGTAAGAGATGACGGATATAAGAAGTGAAAGAGAGCCCTCTGTAAAGTAATACTGTCCCCTCCCCCACTCTCTCTTTCTCCAAAAACAAAAACAAAAACAAAAACAAAAACAAAACCCTCTTTTTTCCTACATAACAGCAAAATTAAAGAAGAATTAGTTTTCAAACCATGATATCTTAATCCTCTCTGACGAAGACATTTTTAATTAAATTTTACCATTCAATGAATTAGTTAATTATTTTTAAACTAATACTATTTTTTATATTTATTTTATTTAATAGGATGTTTTACTTAAAAAATGAATATAAAATAATTTATTTATTAAAGACATTTAAAAAAAAATACATTAATTACACCTTAAACATTAATAATATCTTATATTTTTTAATTTCAAACTCTCAAGAAAGAGAGGGAGTTCAACATTTGAGATAGATAAATATAGTGAGCACATACAGGGGACTCTGTAGATTTAGTTTCTCTCGCACTGCAACGCTGTGTCACCATCCCCTTAATCCTCAAACATTGGATTCATTCAACAAGTTACCCATTTTAACCCTCGGCGTGTTGAGTGATAGAGAGTCAGTTACGTCAGAAGCATGACACAACAAACAGATACAAGTGACTAGAAAAATCCACGACCACATCAGTATCCTGCACAAACTCCTTGGTAATTAAAAAAAAATGAAAAATGTAAAATTAAAGCGTTGGAGTTGGATACACTATTCCATCAGCCCCGTCCATTAAAACGAGGGTATTCACAAATCATACTCCAATCTACATTACCACTTGCTAGTACAGCAAAATACTATCAGCAACGGCAGCCTTGTAGGCTAAGAAGCACGGACACACCCAAATGGCTGCTGTATATATGACACGGACACGTGTCTTGAACGCGGATGCAGTGTGTCCATATTTTCAATTTTCTGCCGATACGGTTAGGAACGGGAGAGTATGGCTAGATTCGGCAAACCGCGTTTTGGTGTTTTTTCCCCTAAAAACAAGATGCCCTTCGTTGACTCTGAAACTTTCATTCCTAAATCCCCTCGTCGCCTAGCTTGACTCGTGTCGCTCTACAGCTACCACAACAACTTCGTATTCGTGTCTTTGCCTTTGAATCTGATTGGAGAGTTTGGTGACCATTCCTAAAGCAGTAGCCCCGATCAACTCGCCGATGACAGTTCGACCTTCTCTGCCTACTTCGTCACCCTTGCTCGTCCTGTCAACTAGCATAGTGGCGTCCCTCACCACCGCCGCTTTGCCACTCCAACCTTCTCTCCTCTCCTCAGTCGATCTGTCTCTCAAGTCTCAACTATTCACAACATACGTTACTCGCAAAACTTGGTTCCTTTCCCAGCAAGGATTACCTCATCATGCAATAATATAGTTTAATATTTATAAATTGTGACATCATGCAATAATATCCATTTCTAGGTGGCTGCCTTCTTTCTTTGTATCAGTACTTAATATTTTAACAAAAAAATATCTATAAATTTGCCAAGTCTGTCTTTATCAATATCATAGCCCACAGCTTGTTCTAACTTTAGATAATATATATTTGTTTGCTTTAAATATTTATCTTTTGTTATTTGATATTGCTTAATTATTTAATTGCTTATTGTATTGAAATTGAAAATATATTCAAATATTGAATATTTAATTATATATAACTGTACCTGCATCTTAAAATTTTTGAAAATTATTGTGTTTGCATATCATGCTGTACCATATTGGATACTTATACCTGTATCAGTGCTTTATAGCTTGTAAGTTTATATAATGTTAATACTAATTCAATCAACAAAGTCTAGAAAGTTTACGATAAATTATAACCATGTTACTTGGGACATTTTCATAGGAAGAAAAGGAAGGATGACATCAGTGAGTGCGTATGCATGTATGTATGAAAACACATACCACGATACAAGGGCAAGAAATTACCAAAGAAAGTTACATTACGTGCAATTATTTCTGGATAGAAAATTTGTACATTCATCTGTTTCCTCAATGAATAAGCTATGCCAGGCCAATGGATAAATAGTTCGTATGATCAGTCAGTAGTCCATGATGGTCCATAAATACTTACTTCAACAATAAGGGGCATTGCATTGAACTTTGCAATTCCACATCGTTAATAAATTCGGTATAAATACACACTTGCTTATTTGAAACACTTACAGAACAGGGATCGATTATGACACAAAAGGTTGTCTGTGCAATTGAGCTCCCGCTTGATAAAGAGTGAGGTTGTGAATGGCTTTTGTGAAAAGATCCCTCAACTCAGGATGTTGAGCTATAACAGGACGAGCCAGCCCCTCGAGAGTACTCAAGGCATGTTCTTGCTCAAGAACCTTACTATTGCCTACGTGGATGGCAAGGTAACAAAGTAGAACTAGGCCATGTTTTTTGGCACGATCGTTGACCCGAAGCAATCTCATTAGACTAGGAACTCCATTGAACTCCATTATTGTGTTAGAATGATAGGAAAAATTGTAGTTCTCAGGGCACACAAATTTACCCAAAGCAATAGCAGCTTCAATGGCAACATCCACTTCCCTATTACCAAGTTGAGCAACTAAAGGACCAATAATTTGCGGAACTTTTCCAGGAAAATTTCGAGCCACTGACCCTATTGATTTAATGGAAGGAATTTGCAATGCCGGATTGGTCTCCTGCTGAATCACTCTCAAAAGCTGATCCACGACTGCCTTTGCTGCTGGAGCAGTAGGCTTGAAAGCCACTCTTCTAAAGTCAGCATTGGATTCTGCTACCGCAGTTATCTCCATGATTGCCATAAGGCAATTGAGCTGCAATATACCTGTTTCTGTCTCAATCATTTTAGCCAAACAAAGCAAACCTTTGGTCTCTGTAATTTTCTTGCTGGTTGATAGACTTCCTCTCGAGAGTTTCCACAAGGCCTCTGCACAACTTATTTTGATCTTTTTCTTCATGTCAGAACTCTCAACCTCCCTTTCCCTCCTGTAATTCCCACTTCCTTTGCTACTTCCATGATCAGAATTCGCAGAAAACGATGATGAACCAGAAGATGACAAATTCACAACCAATGAATGAATACTTGCTCTTCCCGCTTGAAGCATGGGGTCACTGAGAACTGTATCCATGGACAACAAGGAAATCAGTGGTCTAGTCACATTTGCTCTCACAAACTCCTCCTGAGCAATTTGACCCTGTTCTGCCATCTTTGACACCAAATTTGCTACAGCAACCTGAACCCTCATCGGAGAATCGCCGAGAACCTGAACAAGAATCGGAACCCCAAGAGATGCTACGATGAACCCGACCACTCTCTCCTGGTCAGTAGCGATATTGACCAAAGCATTAGCAGCAGCAAGTTGAGCATCGGGGGAAGCAGACTCCTTCAGTAACTTCAGCAAAGGTAGAATCCCACTTTCTTCCATGATAATAATCTTGTTGCGCTCGTTGTCTTTAGCGATTGAAGCGAGCTCGTTGGCCGCCTCGGCTCGGTCCTTGAGCTGGCCCATTTGAATTGTGGCTGTGTAGGACCAAACCCAAGCGAGAATCGGGTCGTTGCTAGCGATCGGAGGGAGAGTCAATTCGATACCACCGTCGGAATCAAAGATACTGAGAAGCCACTTCATGTCGCCGATAGAAGATTCGAGAAGGGTGGAAACCTTCCGGAAGTCAGCGGTGGAGGTGATGGAGAAGACTTGACGAAGAACCCCACTGTGCTTCTTACATTTGCGGACAAGGGTTAGGGCTCGTTCGAGGTTCTTGGAGACTTCGGCGACAATCCGGCGAACGGGTGGCTCGTAGAGAGAGGGAGTGGTGGAGGCAAGTCGGACGATGGACCGAAGCATGGTCGAGAGGTGTTCCACTTGCTTGGCGAGTTCGGAGCAATCCGGCTTCGAGGATTCGGCCTCCTTGGCGGCTTTGATAACTCTGTCTCCGAATAAAATGGGAAACGAGAGTTCTTCTTGGATGGTCCTTTCGTCTTCAAGGTTCGCCATCGGAAAGAAGACGACGACGACAATAAACACTGGGGCAGCAGAGACGAATGGCTTCTCTGCTTCGTTTCGTCGTGTTTTTTAAAATAAAAATTGAAGAGCGAGAAAGCTACTATTAATTAAGATTGAAGGAGGATTCTGGGTAGTGCTAGTTTGGCAGTGAGAAGGGAGGAGAGTATCGCCGGCGAGGATAACGATGAAAAAACTGAAACGGGAAAATAGCTTGTGAGGTAAAACTGAGGGGTTGAGAGGAATGAAGCGAGGAACTGCAAGTGCAACGTGCAAAAGACGTCAATGGTCAAAAGGAGCAGCTTTTGATTGAATTATTGAGTTGCTTTGAAAATGTTACCATTCTATGTTGCTGGAAAATAGGCGCGGGGTGGGTGGACCTGGCCTCTCTCAATTCCCTCTTCTTTCCATTTCCTTCTCACTTTCAATCTCAACTAAAGCCAGTCAGTTTGATGGATTCAATTTTAATTTTTCTCAAAATCAATCGAATGAATTAGACAAAAAATTTAAATTAAATTGAATTGAAACATTTGTTCAAACTGAATTAAAACTAAATGAAATTATAATGGTTCAATTCAGTCAGTCTATTTAATATATAAGATTTAATTTGGGTCTATGAAATCTAATTGTTCATATATTTTTCAATCTATTTTTTCTTAATATTAAAGGTCCAATAAAAAAATAACAATCTTATATCATAATTCATGAAAAAATTTATAAAATTTAGTACTATTGCGTTAAAAATTAAATTATAAAAATAAAAAAACAAAACATCACATTAAACAAAAAAAAATACTACTACTACAAGTGACAGAAAAATGTTTCTTACTCATTTATATGAAAATTTATTCACCTTTTTAAAAATATGAAAAAAAAAATATAATTTAATCAATTTAATTTATTTGATTTAAGAATTTTCAAATCAAATCAAACGGATCAATTAAAATTCTTATTTAAAAAATTGAATCAAATTATATAACTGGATAGATCAAATCAAATAAACTAAATTCGATTTGATTTGATTCAATCTTTGATTTTAATTTGGTTTTGCTCACCCTTAATCTCAACCATTTTTAAATTATTTAAATTTAATATTTTATAAAATTAATTGTTGAAATGTGAAGTGAAGAGTGGAGAAGAAATGAAGAGGAGAGGGAACAGAGAAAAGCCAAGTTTGGTATGACTAATGACAAGGACTGTAATTTAATTTAAAAAAATTATTAAAAAGACTTGAACAAAATATTTATTGATCATAAGACCTTAAAATTTGGTCAAGATCTTGGATCCTTCAATGACAATATGTTTAAGAAGTAGATGACTTAATTACTTCTAACCAAATCCCCACCTCTCCTTTCCGACTTTGATGTGATTTTTTGTATTGTTCTTGCCGTAGCTCTATGATTCTAACAACGATCATCGAAGGTCATGATTCCAAGAGTGATAGTGACAAAGGAGGTTAAGGTAAGGTCTTGGTTTTATAAATAGCTAAAAAGGCTATGAAGAACAACATGCTTCTGTGTTTATAATGGCGATGACAACTGCAAAGGGAGGGGGAGTGAAGAGTTGAAGAGATAGGGAAAAAGCATGCCATACTTCATCAAGCGCTATCCACCATTATTGGGCTTGCATGGTTGTTTTGGAGCAAGCAGTGAAGAAGGCTTGAACATTAGGTCCTCTTTTATTCATAAAGTCCGGCGAGATTGATTTTTTTCAATCTAACTTTGAATCTATATTTGAATTTTTTCCTTGAATCTCTTTCCCTTCAATTTATGCCATTTACACTTTGGTCTCCAATTTTTGCACCTCAGTCTCCAAGATTTGTTCTAAGTCATTGGAATTTTTTTGTCTCCCAAGCTTTTTCCCATAGTTGTGCAAAGCATCCTTAGCTCATGCCTTTTAACTCCTCAAGAAGTCGTTGCCAATGGTGCTGGTGTTATATTAAGTGTTTGTGATGATGAAGTTTCTCGCTATGAAATTGCTACTTTAACAGCGACTGTTGTCCCCACACTTTTGCATCCTCCTCCCACAACAACTTTGGATGATTATGCATTTGGCATAAGGATAAGTTGTATATTTTGCTGCATTGATACTAAAGCTTACGTTATGATGCCAAGCTAGTAATCTTTATGCATCAGTTTTCATTTTATGTTATTCATCAATACCTTTATGAGAGAATCAAAGACAACCATCACCTCAAACATGCTATTAATGTCCAGAAGAAATCTCAAATATGCATTATAGGATCAAAGTAGTAACTCATTTATTTATTCTGAATTTTGATTATTAAATATTTGGTTTTGCCGCTAGATATGAGTGAATTGGTTTTCTAAATCTGGTCCTTGAATATCTTCAAATTTTGTTGTGTCAACTAAGGGATAGAAATTGGTATTTAACTAAATCTCTAACATGTGTCGCCACGTTTTTAGATTGAGAGGTTGAAAAGTTTATGTCCTAGCTCTAGAATAACTTGACACAAATAACTTCATCAAAGTGCTTAGTTGAGTGTGCTTGTTAAGTGTTATCTTTTAATTCTCCCTTTGTTGTTGTTTTTTTTTTTTTTTGGTATTGTTTCCAATTGGCCACAGTCAACATTTCATTTTGTTAGAACTAGGATTAATTTTTCCTTATTATGTGGGATTGGATTTACAAAATCACTTGTGACCAATATCCCAAATTTGTTATTTGTATTAGCTTCTTCAACAAAGTCATGTTTGGTTATTAAAAATGAATGGAATATAATAGATTGAAAAACAATCAAAACAAAAATTTTCTTAACGGTAAGTATGATAAAAATTATTAATATATATTACAAATATAAAAATCATCACACCCTCTAAAAACCTTATAAATCATGATTCCCAACCTTATAAACTAAATTACCCTCTCCCTTTTAATGATCTTTTTTTTCTCTTTTATTTTTTTAATTTATTTCATTTCATTCCTTTTTACTAACCAAACAGAACCTAAATGATAAAAGATGTGTTTATATTATGAAAACCATTTTTAAGAATTCTCATTTTATAATCTATTTAATCCTTTGCTTTCTTCTTGTTGGCAAAAATAAATTCTCTATTTTATTGATGATTGATTATTCCCATGATTGTAATCTAATTTAGTCCCTTAATATGGCCTTGATATTTAAAATTGATTTCATCACATTATGCAAGGCCTATAATTTATTATTATTAAGTCCTATAATGTTTGGCATTAATTAAGTCTTTTGATTGAAGGATTGGAGCTGTAAGTGGGAAAAAATGAATGGTGGTGGTTTAATTTTAATAATCTTCTCAATCATTATTAATGGAAAATCCAACCCTTGTTTATGCATTGGGGTTATAATAAGGGGATACTTATTGGAAGAATACACATTTTTATGAATTCATACTCGACGCTACAGTCAAGAAAGTGTCTTTGCCTACTTCTTTAATATGTTATTTGATAAACAAGAAGGAAAGGCTAAATATATGAAATAGAGCATTCGTGATGAAGCTAAATCTACATTAGCAATTTGTTTGAAGGAGCTTAGACTGAAATACTTGCAATCCATTGTTAAATGCTAGTGTATATATAGGAAATTGTTGTAATTTATAAATGTTATGTTGAAGTATTGAACTAAGCATATAAAGCTAAAAAAAGATGCAATATCTTGTAATTTAATGTAATTTATGTTATCAAAAGATGTAAGAACATATTACTATTTAGTGATAAATGTATTTGTTGTTATTCAATTGTTTTTCATGCTTTAAGTTGATGTGATTATATTTAGATATAATACGCAATAATGACTAGTAAGAATATTCATTAATATTTTTAGAATATTCATTTGTTTTTCCGTAAAAAATGATAAAATTTTCATAATATCTATTTGCATTTTCATGAAAATTGAAAAAATTTTTAGAATATTCATTTGTATTTTCATGAAAATTAAAAACATATTCTATTATTTCTTTCTGTTCATATGCAATAAACTTCCATGATGTATAAATTTTTTTTTTTGGCCATATGCAACACTCTTTCACTTATACAACACTATCTTGCATATGCAAATTTCTTTCGTGATATGTAATTTTTTTTCATTATATGCAACAACTCTTTCACATATGCAACACTTTCCCTTCATATGAAATGTTCTTTTGTATATGCAATACTATCTCATAAATGCAAGTTTCTTTCATGATATGTAATGTTTCTTTCATTATATGCAATCATTCTCTTATCATGTGCAAAACTCTTCCACATGTATAGATTTCTTCCACGATATACAATGTTTTTGCTGTCATAAGCAACACTCTCCCACATGTGGAACACTCTCTTGAAAATGTAGATTTCTTCCACAATATGCAACATTTTCCCTATATATGCGACAATCTTTCGTTAAATGCAATACTCTTCTACATATGCAAATTTCTTTCACAATATGCAATGTTTCTTCCATCATACATAAGACTATTTCATTATATGCAAGAAACTTCCAGAGGCACATAATAGATGCAGACAAATTAACACTAACCAACCTTATGTGACATATTAAAATTGAAAGATCTTTTTTAACATATTGACACTAAAGTACCTTATGCTATGTTCAATAAATTATCATCGAAGGATCTTGTGTGATATATTGATAACAAAAAGTCTTGCTCAACCTTATCCATTTTTTTTTTTGCCATTAAGGGCATTTAAGTTATTTATCTCCAAATTATTGCCAATAAAAGACCTAATGTCTTAGCTCCTTTTTTAAAATAAATATGCTAGTAAAGTCTTTTTAAACAATTTTCCTTTAAATTTATGTTGAGAATGAAATAAATCATTTAAAAAAAAAACTACACAAACAAGAAAATAATGGTTGGCATTTAAAACGGATCCAATCAACCTTAGTAAAAATTACTACTCCTATAACACTTATATTAAGTTTTTTTAATAATTAGTTTAAATATACAACTCATGCACCCGGATGCCAAAACAAGGTTCAAACCCTAAACCACATTTGCAAGAAGGTAACATTGTCGTTGAGACAACTTGCCATTGGCATCACTTATATTAAGTTAATCTTTTGTAACTTGACTTGTCTTAGATCATTGATATTAAATTTTAATGACATGTAAGATATTGTATATCTAGTAAAACACGTGCTTTTCACTTGAATTGCATATTTGTATAATTGAATAAAACTTATTACAATTTAAATCAAAATACATAAAAATTAGAGAAAATATAACTTCAGTTTTGTTAAATTTTCATCAATTATCGATCTTCTTCTTGAATTTTAACTCAAAACTTAATTTTTGTAATTAGGGAAAGAAAAAAAAATGATATAAAAAGAAAAGACAGATGATGAAAAAGAATTTGAAAGCAAGTTAAAGGGAATAATATAATTGCATTCGAAAAGGCAGTGGGAGTGAGTGAGAGAGTGATGCTTTTACAAGGAAGAAAGGAGGCAAATATGAAAGGTTACACAGAAAAAGAGAGAGAGAGAGAGAGAGAGAGAGAGAGAGAGAGAGAGAGGATGTAATGTATGGGTCCAAGACAACTTTTTTTGTGGGTTAAGCATGTGAGTTTAAATTAATTCTGATTGAGTCGGGGTTGGACTCTTTCACGAAAAGAAAAAAAAAAAACTATATTGTTATTATATTTTAAAAATTTAAATTTAAGATGAAACTTAAGATCTCTAATTAAGTTGATAGCATGATACAACTCTCTTATCAATTTCGTTTAAAACAACTTTTGGTGGGATAACCTGCTCAAAGCTTTGACATTGCCAGCCACTCACACGCTCTGCATGGCTAGGAAAATGGAGAGCCGATTCACATGCATTCAGTTGGGAAACAGTTTCCATTTCAATTCACTGGTTTTGTATTTATTCTTGGTCCATCCTGGATTTGGTTACTCTGTCAAAACCCGTCCATTCATTGATCAATCTTTTTCACCTCAAATACTGACTTCACAACTGAATACCTCTCTTTCATTAAACATGAGTACCTTTTTAATCTTAATTTATCATATTGTGAAGGATTAATCTCTTTCGCTAATTCTAATCGTGGTTAGTAAATTGCAACACAATTTTGATGATAGTATTTTAGCAACTATATTCAAGATGACCTCCACATTTTATAGATTATGGATATTTTTTTTTATATACAGAAGGAAAATTATGAAGATTAACATACACATGAGCTGACGATCATTCATGGATCCGATCAAATTAGGCCACATAAAGCTTATTCAAGTTAGATTGGGCTCTTGCTGTGCGAGCCTAATCTAATCCTCCCCCTTTTCTTTTTTTAAAATAAACATTATCAGGATTTTAATAAAAAGGAAAATATCATTCAAGGATTATGAAAGCAATTTAATATCAATTAAGGACTACAAGATTATGAAAAATCACTACAATATCAAGGAACTGATTTAAAAATAATTTTAGATGAAAAAAGATTATAATATCTCTACTTTTCTTTTTTAAAAAAACTTGTCAACTAGAAAATAATTTGTTATTAAATGCAAATGAGTATTTATTAATTAATGAATGGTTACTTGTTAAAACTTGATCTACACTTGTCTCTTCCTACAACCAAATTTTTTCAAATTTTTAAACTTATCAATTAGCAAATGACTTCTTGTTAATTAATTAATAACTACTTGCTGAAACACGATCTATATTTATCCCTTCACACAATCAAATTCTTTCATATTATTGAATCTGTTAATTAACAAATAACTTCTTATTAAATACAAATATGTATTTGTGAATTAACAAATGATTACTTGTTAAAACAAAATTTATAATTATCCCTTCTCACAACCAAATTCTTTAGATTCTTAAATTTATCAATTAATAAATGATTTTTTATTAAATACGAATGAATATTTATTAATTCATGAGTAACAATTTGTCAATTAAAAAAAAAAGGCAAGGGTATTATAATCTTTTTTAATCTAAAATTATTTTTAAATGAATTTTTTGATCTTGCATTGATATTTTAAAATCTTTTAAGCCTTGATTGATATTAACCTACATAAAGTTCCTTGAATGATATTTTCCCTTTTAAAAAATATACGGCAATCTTTAAGTGATCAAGTTTCACTTTTTTCATGTGACAAAACAAGGTTCACATTTTCATCAAGAATACCGGCATTTAGTATTCAATTGTAAAAGAAAAAAAAAATATATATATATATAACGAAAATAACAAACACAATCAACATGAGTCGTGGGATCTAACCTAATAATTTTAAGCCAGGTCTTTCAAGAAAAAAGCATACATGTTTTCTAATATACTTCCTTTCAATTATTATTTTTTACTTGTTTTTTTATATAAAAAAATCATCTATTTTAATAAACATTTATTAGACATTTTCTAAATCACTTATCATTATTTATATTAACGAAAAATAATTAATATATTTTTATATTAATTAATACAGAACATTTTAATTCAATTTTTTTATTTTTAAATATAATTATTATTGTTAACCGACTTTTTTAAACTATATAATATAATTTTTTTATATAAAAATACAGAAAAGAGTACACTAATTTTTTTTTTTTTTTGCAGGTGGGGGGGGGGAGGAATATGATGTGCATTCCTTTCGAGTTTATTTATAAAACCCTAACTATTGGTCCCGAATACAAGATCTTTTATGAAATTTAATGAAACATCAGTCTCACTCCAGAAAATGCCCTCTTAAATAATGGTTTTTCCATGCCCCCTCCCTCCCCCAATGAACCCAGGAGTCATTTTCGAAGTTTGTGAAAATTTTGGGCATTTAACTAATTCCAACGAACTTCCTCAGTCTCCTGAAGGTAGTTAATAGGCCCTCATAAGAAACACAGGAGGGAGTATTTTTTGTGATTCCAAACTTATCAAAAAATACTTATATTTGGAAGAATTCGAATCTTGATGCCTCGTCTTTATCAGCTAACAGGAGGGCCTTCAGAAAGCAGGCGACGAGGAAGATAGCGGAACCAGGTAAATTAGTTGAATTATTACTGACTTCAATCTCACTTTTTCCCAGTACCATTTCTCCTCTTCACCCTCATCACCTAAATCTACCAAATACCACACACGAATTTCATCTAACACTGGAATCAACAGATGCAACACCATGAAGCTCAGCTTGAAGTATTGTCTATCCTACAAGGAAGAGGTTATGTTCTTTCAATCAACAGAAATGGTTATCTAACGTATGAAACTAGCTGTGGTTTCCCAGGAACACCAGACAACCAGTAACACGAAGATAATTTCATATGATGCCATTAAGTAGGTTACAAATATGAAAGTCATAAAACACATGAAAACTAGATGGACGTGCTGTACGTTGCAATGCACCAGGTCTGATAAATGAGTGACAAGCTTGCTATAGTTCTACATCACAGTTTGGACAATCACTTAACATTCATTCCACATTAAGCAAAGCCAAAGTAGTAGTAGAGCTAATGTAATTTTTCAAAATCCAAACCCAACGATGAATTGCCACATAGAACCTATGATCATATTTGCGTTGTCTATGAGGGGTAAGCATCATCTTCATATCAACTGCCATTCTTCCCCCACTCAATCTGATATGGTCAAACCAGTTCAGGTGTTTGATTCACTGGTTTACCAGCCGGTCAGATCTGAATCTGATGTTAAACCGAACCCATGTAAGTCCAGTTTTTGGTTCGTTTTTTGGAGCCTCTAGAGTAGGAATCTAGATCATAATCAATTGAATTATTACCAATTTCAATCTTTTCACATGAACATTTACCACAAAAAATTTAAACTGACCCTAGAATCAAAAGATACCACACGGAAGCTCACTGTATGAAGTAGTGTCCATCCAAAAGGGAAGAGGTTATGCTCTTTCAGTAACTAGATTTTACTACATATTATGAATAAAATTTATATTTTATAAAAATTATATTAGAGGAAGGTCTAAAAGACAGTGAAACCACAATTATCAACATAAAACCATAAAAAAACTTGTAGTAGATATGGGCATAGCAACAACTATGTACACACTAACTTACAATATTACTGGATGCAATTAAAACTTCTGGAGCAAATACGTTTAGGCTACCCCCCCACCCAAAAAAAAACCTCGGATGAATAATATTAACTTTCATATTTAAGAATGGTACCCTCATCTGATCCCTTTGCCTTCCATGCACCAAAATTACCTCTTCAATTTAATCGAAAATAAAATCTCCATAGGATCCAAAACAAACATTATTCAAACATTTACTCCCCATTTAATGCATGAAAAGGTTAGACTTACATAATGATCAATTATTTATTGAAAGGTTAATATTTATTATAACTAATAATAAAATTGTGTTTTAAGGGTTGTAGGACAAAAGCTAGAATGACAACTTTTTCTTAATTAAGCTAAGATTCATACTCTAGAAAACCTTTATACACGTGCTAGAATGAGTCTTGTAACAATTAACTGATTTTCCCATCACATTGCCTTTGATCTTTGATGAGATGTAATTTTTTCTATATAATCAAATAGATAAAAGCCACACTATTAGCTCAATCTCATTGGTAGAAGAGGTGAGTGAACTTAGATGTATATGAGACAAAAAAAAACAAAAAACTCTTGATATCTTTTTTTCTTTTAATTTTTCTTAGATACATAGCAAGACTTTATTACCCATGCAAGAAGATTAAAAAAAAATTGTGCATTGAACTAAGTCAGATCCCGTCGGACGATCACCTAATATTCTTCTCAAATTATGCAGACCAAAGTAGCAGAGCTCGTATGCATTTTCAAAAATCAAAATCCCAACCAAACAATGTATTGCCACATAGAACCTATGATCATGTTTAGCTTGTCCAAGGTAGATAAGCCATAATAAATCAAATATTATGTGTTGCAAGTAGGCCAGTTCACGCTAACTAATAAAAATATATTTAAATCCTCACATGTTGACTGAAAACAACATCAGAGGTCTCAATAATTCAAAATCGATATTGATAGTGTCTAAAAACATCGGAATTTCAACAAAGTTGTAATACAACATTTTAACCTTAAGCAGTGAGGACAACAGCTCCTCCGGCCTCCTTGATCTTCTTCTCAGCAATCTTGGACACGAGCTTGGCCTTCACGACGACGGGTTTGTTGTCAGGCAAAACCCCTTTGCCCAACACCTTGAAGTACCCAAATTGAGTGACGTCAATCAAAGGGGCGTTATCCTTGGAAGCCTTATCCTTCGCTTCTTGGGGAAGAAGGGACCAGAGCTTGTCGATGTTGACAATGGGGCAGTAGAATTTGTTGCGAAGCTTGTGAAAGTATCGCATACCAACCTTACCGAAATAACCAGGATGGTATTTATCGAAGAGAATTCGGTGGTGGTGCATACCGCCGGCGTTACCTCGACCTCCCGGATGCTTCCTGTGCTTCCCGATACGGCCATGTCCAGCGCTCACATGCCCTCTCTTCTTTCTGTTCTTCTTAAATCTCGTCGTCATCCTCCTTGCTCCTCTTCTCTTCCCTCCTTCCTGACTTGCAACCACGGAGCTGCAGCTCGGACCAAATTAGGGTTTCGGTATTTACATGAGATTGTTTTTAAGATTTGAGCACTTTTGGTGGGCTTAGTAGGCCAGCCCAGTTGTACAACACCAGAATAATCTCTCTCTCTCTCTCTCTCTCTCACAACAAAACAAAACAAAAAAAAGAGTAAAAGAATTAATAACAAATCAAAATTTAAATTCCTATTAAAAAAATGTTTATATATCAGATTTTATTATATCTTGAATAAGATTATCGCTGTTAAAAAAATATCCTTAAATAATTAAAAAAAGGGGGGCGCTGCTCCATAGGCTAACTCATAGTCCAAGTAATCAACATGTTTTTTTTTTTGGGCAAAAAAAAATTATCAACAAAATTATATTATTTAAGCTGGATTCTTCCATTTGCATTCATTTATTCTATCAATGTATAATGTATCAAATTTTTTATTTAATATTCAAACAATGTATCTTGTGTTTTTTCAAACCATGTATAATGTATCAAACTAGTTATTTAAATCATGTATCTTGTGCTTATTCATCAAAATAAAATCCTGCGGACTTATATTTATAATAATGTTTTACATTTTTAAGATGTTGATTTTTTTCCTTTTTATGAAAGGAGATGAAAGGGAAGGAAAAAAGAACAGTAAAAAGAGGAGAGAAAAGAAGTGTTAAAATTTGTTGGGCTGGCAAAACGGCCCAGACATTATTTTACGTTAGACAACATATTTCTAGTTCCTAATTTTAGCTCGTATTTTTAGCTCCACCCTCGTGTTAAATTATTATTTTATAGAAATTATCTTGCTTTAAAATAACGTTATTTATGCTTGACAATATAAAGTTACATGCTCAGGCTGAATTACTTATGATATTTGTTACTTGTGAATGATATAATTTAGGAATTTTTATAGGTATCAATCATGTTATAATATCAAATCAAACAAACAGCCTAACATTTATTATATTTTATATTATAATTAATTTATTATATTTATCAATGATATACAATTATATATCAATGATAAATACTTTATAAATTTTTAAAATTTTAATGATAAACCCATTGTATATTAATAATAAATTATTTATATATTAATGTGAACTAACTATACTTTTAAATTTTAAAAAAATTAATTCATATTTTTTCGACACAATTTTTTCAACTGGCAAGCCAATTTATCATATAATTTATATTAATTTTATATTATATATGGATTAATACAGACGTATTGATTGCGCCTAAGAAGTAGGCTAGAGGGCAAAACTTTTAAAAATTATCTTTCATTAATTGGTTTTGATTAAGGTTGTGTTTCGATTTGTTATTTCTCACTTTTCAAAAGTCTTTTCCTGCTTTTCAAATCCCAAATATTGTTTGGGTGATTATAATATGTGTAAACTAATTTTGTAAAATGTTTTGAAAATGGATTTGGCAACGTTGAATTTGGGGGCATTTGAAATAGAGATGTATAGTGAGAGCATTTTCTCATCTGACCGTGCTATCCCTGGTTTTTCTTTGGTGTATTTGACAATGCACTCACAAGACAGAATATGAATTTTCCACATTTATTTCAAAATATATTTAATATTTAATCAATTTAAAATCATCTGTTTGAACTTTTAATTAATTTCTATATTGATAAAAAAGAATATTTAATTCATTTCTATAATTTCTATTTTTTATTTGTTAGGTAAATATTTTTTATTGGATGCTGGCTATCCAACATCTAGCAGATATTTAGGTCTTTATAAATGTTATAGGTATCACCTCTTAAATTTTAGATGTTCATCTAAATTTGCAAATGATAATGAGATTTTTAACTATTATTACTCAAGTTTAAGGTGCACGATTGAAATAGCCTTTGGGATTTAAAAAAATATATTTGCAATCTTATATCACCTATTTAGTTATTTGTATCTAATGCAAGTTCATTTAGTTGGTGCTACAATAGTTATACATAATTTTATTGGAAGAAAATTTAAAACTAATTTTGACTTTTTGCATTTTAAGGATGAAAATATGATTGACCCTTATGATGATAGAGATGAATAGAGTTTGCAATTTAATTAAAGAGCAATTTGTATATTATAAATTGAAAAATCATGTTAATTTTCAATATTAATATATATTGAATTATTTATTATATAGCATTTTTTGATATGTCAAACTTTATATTTTTTATTCTTATTATTTAACACATCAAATTTTATGTTATTTAAAATTTTTATCATATTTTTTAAACATTTTTAATATGCTACATCTACAAATCATTATAAATTAATTTTTTTTTATAATTGTGTACTCAAAAGTATATTTCACCCTATACAATCCAAACAATTTTTAATTTATCAAATTAAATTTTAAAAAAATATATTCAAACATAAATTTTGTTATAACAATTAACTTTTACTTAACTTATTTTTGTCAAATAAATTTTTGATAAATTGATTTTTTACCAATGAAAAACAAACACACACTAAATTAAGTTGTGCAAATCCATCAAAAAAAATTAGGTCATGCAAAATTAAACGGTAGGAAATTTAAAAAATCAAAGAATCAAGGAAGCTAGTCCAAATTAGTTTTGAGTTTATCAGGTATCCTAATATAATTTTCAAATTTTGAAGAAAAATAAAAAAATTATTAAAATTTCTTATTTTTACAAATATTTTAAATTTAATTGTCTTGATAAATGGATGGAAACTTTTGCAAAGTATCTTGGCTTCAAACCCATGACTGTTATTAGGGTTTTTTTATTCTACTATCTTTTGGTACACTGGAAACGGGGAGCATAAAAATGAAATTAGAGGTGGAAATCAAATTTTAAATTGTTTGGTATGTCGTATTTTAATTTTATATGGAATTCAATTCAATCAAAAATGACAGAAATGAATTTCATCTGTCGACCTATGGAATTGAATGGAAGTCAAATTTGTATCACTTTTTCCCTTCTTATTTTTGGACTCCTTGTCTCCCTTAGTCACCGGACTGACAGAAAAGCCCTTCCTCCTCATCTCTTATCATCACTGGACACCACATCAGAGAACAGGGAAGATGCCAGCAATGATTATGTGTCGTATGTCTATTGTGAGTAGGGAAGATGGTGGCAGCGAGCTCTTCCTCATCATCACTAGACTCTTCCTCTTTGCTTCCTTTTTCTTCATCTTTGACTTCGACTCTGTCTAGATCTCCAATAGTAACAACGACCAAATCTTGCCTCTTCACTTCATTCTTCATCATCTTTGACTTCTCCTTTCGCTATTCACTTCATTCTCATTCTTCCTTGTCTTTGACTTCATCCAAATTGACAATCTCATCCAAATATCTGACAACAATAGCAACCAAAATCTCCAACAACATCTTTAATTCATTGTCATCAACTGCTTCATCTTAAGATTGTTGTTGTTGCCTTGAAAGACTTTTCAATTTGTGCTGCTGATGGATGGTGGTGTTGCACTGCCGCTGGGGATTGGTGTCTTTGATAGGAGTGGATGGTATTTTACTGGTTTTGTTAATCTAGGGTTTTTTTTTTCAGCAAGGGTGTTTGGGTCTTTTAACATTATGAATATATATTTTTAATAAAAGTTATATAAAGATTCTATAAACATACTAAACATATTTTTAAACTCTATATCTATTTTCATTTCAATATCTATTTCTATTTTTATATTCATTTTTATTTTCATCAACATCATTTTTATAATATCAAACGGGGCATTAGAGTTTTCACTTGCCCTGTAGTCAAGAAAAACAAAATATCCTTAATGGCTTTTTTGTTCTCCTTTTATTTTATATATCTTTTTAAAAATTCAACGCAACATTTATTGATATTTTTCTTTTGATATTCTTATTTATATGAGTAATGTGAAAATATTTCAATACATTAAATTAAGGTAAAAATTAGGAATATTATAAATATTTTAATGTATTAGAATGTTAAATATAAATAAACTTGAATTGATATGAAAATTTTTAAATTGAATAAATTTAAATTTAATAACTAATATATTTTTTTGGCCACTCTTGTACCAGTGATCCATTCCTAACAAGTGACGTTAGTAACTCACACTAGTTGGCACTGGAGCCAACTTTCGCACGGCACCTGTATAATTTGTGTGTCACTCAACAATGCCATGATTGGCGCTCACATGCCATCGCTTCTTTCTCTTCTTTTTTAACCTAGTCATCAAGGAATCATATTCTCCCCTTCTTTGTTATTTTCGGTATTTACAAGGGATTATTTATGATTAACCCAAGGGTAATGATTTAATCAGTTTTTCTTGGGCAATTCAACTAGAGATTGGGTTAGCATCTAGGGCCTTGGAAAAAATGATATTAGTTATGATTCTTAGATAATATAAAATATAGGGAAAAGGACAAAAACAATACCTCTAAAATATTAATTTGATCTCTTAAAATATCATAATTTTTTTAAAGTTTCTAAAAACTTTTCTATCATTAATGAATTTATATAAATTATTAAATTACTCTTGTTGAAAATAAATAATTTACAAGTTTTGTTTAAATATTCACAACTTTTCTTCTTATATTCGCAACAATACAACAACAAATCACAATTTGATATTATTGCGAATATAAAAATAAAAATTGTGAATATTTAAACAAAACTTGTGAATCATTTATTTTCAATAAGGACAATTTGATAATTTATAAGAATTCATTAATGATTGAAAAGTCCTTAAAAACTTCAAAAGAATTATAACATTGCAAGAGACTAAATTATTATTTATATATTTTTTAAGAATTTTATTGTCATTTTTCCTAAAATATATTACTTTAAAGCTTAAACTTCTTTCATAAAACAAGATTACAGAAATAAATAGTGTAAGGAAAGTAAGATTAAGACACCAAAAAATGAGTTGTTAAGAATCCTAATATCAATATCTTTTAATAAACTTGATGAGCAGATCAATCTGTATAATTGTTAGTTTTTTAAAAATTATGATTCAAATACCATGATAATCATGTGCTATACAACTCCTTGCCAAACACTATTAATCATGTTCTCTCTTAAAATAATATATAAAAAAATGTAATTTAAAATGAGATTTAAATCCCCTGAAATTTAGATTGGTAGATTTCTGTAAAGGTTCTTTTTTAAAAAAAGAAAAAGACAGAAATTATATTTTATGAAAATTAATAAGATGAGAAAAAAAATACTAAAAAAATTCAAATTCTTCAAAATCAATAGACAACCGTACTGTTAATGATGCGTTTTTGAGGTCCTACCAAGACATAGTACAATAGCTTCTTCACTGCCATCTTCCCTAATTTATTTTCACTTTACTCTCAAGTTCTATTACATATTTTTTAAATAACTACAATTACAACTGCATGAAATAAAAAAATATCACGACATAAGTATAGATAATTTTTTTACCAACTTTAAATTTCAAATACACACTGTTTAAGGTAAATAATTTTGCACAATCCATGTGACACCAATAACTCCTTACTTCTTTTCTTGCTGAGAGCATCACCTTGTCGTAATTTAACACATGCTTAACTACAATTACAATTATTAATTAATCACAACAGTCAAAAGAGGTCCTCACAACAGTCATCTACTTGTTAGGGGCAGATGAAATTCACTGGCATGCAATTAGAGAGAATCCAATTCCCAGGAATTTGGCATCACCTGTCTGAATGTGAGGAAGGGTTCGTACAAGAAAGTGCAAACTAGTGAAGTTATAGGCATATTAATATATGTTTGGATAAAACCCACGTCAATACACACCTATACATGATTGATTTGATTTAATAACTTGCCATTTATCAAACCGGACCAACCTGATTTTTCTGGCTGTCTACATCGCCCATGCAGTGATTTCTTGCAATGAATTTCCTTCAACGTTGGCCCCAAAAAAAAAAAAAAACAGACTACCAATTTCTCAAATGCCTCATCAGCGAGCTATGATCACACGATCACAAGAAATTTCCTAGAGACGCTACAATTAATGTGTTCTTTCAAGTTTCAAATGTAATCCAAGCAAATACAGACTACCAAGGCTTCCTTGAACCCAGAGGAATGGAATTAGATCCTGACATGTGACCTCTATTACCATAACCTCCCCGTCCCCTGGAGCGGAAGTTTCCCCCAGATCCTACAAAATTTTCAAAAACAATATCAAATAATCCTTTATGATCAACTTAAAACATCGAGGTGGTGGAAAGGGGCAAAAAAGATTACCAAATTGACCAGAACTGGCTGACCGAGACAAGGCAGATAGAGCAGGACTCACAATCTGGCCAGCATCTTGCAAGATCTTGATCAAATCCCTGGCAAACTTGACATTTGCATGCGTGAAAAAGGTGAAGGCAGTTCCTTTAGCCCCTGCACGACCGGTTCGACCAATTCTGTGGACATAATCTTCCAGGCTTGAGGGGAAATCATAATTGATCACACATTTTATGTCCTTCACATCTGCAATCAACAATGCGAAACATCATAAGGATTTATAAGCAAGGGTTTAGATATGGGAAAACTGCGAAAATCCTTATCCCTGCACCCCTAAGATTATGGAGATCAAACTCAAAGTCAACACATTCGTCACATAAATGTGCCCACCTTAACGGCTTAACCTTGCAGGGATAAGGAGCAGCTTCACCATCATTTCCACCTCCCATATCCAATTATCCACTAAGCATGCATGAGTCAACCAGGCTGCAGAGACAACCAGCTCCCTAACTGTGGATGGGCTGCGATCAATTTAACTAGATTTTTAAACAAAGGGAAAACGGTTGTATCGCTAGGAATAATTGGTAATTAACCTTAAATACCAGGCATTAACCCATCCTATCTAATCACAGCCCCACACTGTGGTAGCCTATGCCAGAAATGATAGACCAGCATCTCAGCCATATTAATGGAACTGTGCTCCAGGTATCCATGTAACATGACCACTCAAAATATGATAGTAAAACAAAAACAGCACCAGGCAGTTTGCTGGAAGCAACAAAAGAGCATCATCTTTCAGTGCAACCAATTAATCCCTTGGCCAAGTTTGAGAAAGTTCCAATAGACTGACAATATGGCATCCCTGCATACCCAAACCACAAATTTGAAACTGGACAGCAGCTGGCCGACTCACCTGTCTCTAAATTTTTAGCCCAATCCCAAAAGCCTAACATTCCTAACACACAGTGATCCTACCAAGACCCCGAGCAGCAACATCAGTGGCAGTCATTATTGGACTTCTGCCACTCTTAAATTCAGCCAACACCCAGTCCCTTTCGGCCTGGTTTTTATCACCATGGATAGAAAGTGCAGGCCAGCCATCCATTCTCAATTGTCTTGTAACTTGATCACAACCCTTTTTTGTCTCAATGAATATAAGAATTCGACTTCCATCCATCATTTCTTTAAGCAATCTGATCAATCTGCATTTGCACAACCAGCTTATAAGTATTAATTTGGTGGGTAGAACAATCAGCCGTATTGTTTATCAGTGAGAGGACAAACCTATTGTATTTCTCCACCTCTGTTACAACTTCAACAACTTGATTTATAGATTGATTTGCTTTCAGATCTGATGATCCAATAATTACCTTAAAGATGATGGTATCCACAAAACAAATAACTCAATCTCTAGTTTCATAACAAAATCAACACAATTATATACTAATTAGTAATGACAAATAGCATGCAAAATAGAGATTCTATGACAGTAAACCTTATATGGGTTGCGTAGAAACTGCCTTGCCAGAGTTTCAACCTCTCTGGGCCATGTTGCACTCCAGTACAATGTCTGTCTATCAGGCCGGATCTGTTATATATTAAAAAAAATAACTGAAATTTGAAAATGCACCACAAAATCCGACAATGAAATGAATAGGATATAATGACAATAGTACCTTCATATGTTTGTACATTACACAAATTAAGTACACCCAAGAGTTGATTCTTTAAGGGTTAATTTAAGATTGTGATTTATGATTAACAGTTGCTTATATTCTATATAAAAGGATTACACCACTCACAAAATAATTAATTTGATAGCAAGGAACTTCACTTTTCTCGTTTTCTTTTAAACTGACAATCAGCCCCCTTTGATTGAGTATTATATATTTGGCCTGTCTTTAACCCCCCCCCAAAGAGCTACAGATATGATTTTAGAACTTCTGCCACGGCTATAAGATACCAAGTTAGACATCTAATATTAAGTCAACTGCAGGAATCAGTTTAATGCAATTGAACGCTTTACCCAACTTACTTAGAACAAAATATGGAATTGACAACAAAAAGGACCAATGAATTTTCCAGGCTATATATTTCACCACTTTCTGATGTTGCTGTATATTTGATGGTTGTATAAAGCCATTTCAGTACAGTGACTATGATCACTACCTGCCCAACAATTTTTCTTATCTGAGGTTCAAAGCCCATGTCCAGCATTCTATCAGCTTCATCCAACACAAGGTAAGTCACTCTTCGCAGATTTGTGTGCTGAGCTTCCAACATATCTATTAGCCGACCAGGTGTAGCAATAACGATTTCAACACCTGCAAAGAGCCAACAGATAATAGTCTCATTCTTTCATCCATTTTGTCTATATAAAGGCTCAAAAAACAAGCCACTTAAGTTTACTGAAATGAAAGCATACCTCTTTTAAGATCACGAATTTGAGGCCCCTTTGGGGCACCACCATAGATACAAGTACTTCTAATATTTGTTCGAGAACCAAATTTTAAAGCTTCTTCCTGAATTTGAACCGCTAACTCTCTAGTGGGTGCCAGAACTAAGACAATGGGACCTTCACCTTGTACTGAATAAGCAGGCAAGATATCAAAATGCTAAAAAGCCAGAAAAAGCGGAAACTTGAAAATAAGCGAACATGGAAACCAATGCATACCCAATCGAGGTTGTGCGCTGATGTGCACTAAAGAAGGAAGCAGATATGCGAGTGTTTTTCCTGAGCCAGTCTCAGCAATGCCAATCAAATCTCTACCCTTCAGAGCCATGGGCCAACCTTGAGCCTGAATTGGTGTAGGCTCCACAAAACCCAATTTGGCAATCACCTCAAGGCAGTAATCTAACATGTCGGATAACATGATCAGCAAAAGAAGTCAAGAAAAGTCATCAACAATCAGAATACCAAGAAAAGGTACGTCACCAGGAAAGTTTGCATCTTGAAACGTTCGAATTGGTTTAGGAATGTCTTGCCCTTGCACTGTGATCTCCCTAGTGGCACGGTAAACCATAAGCTCATGATCAGACATTGCCCGTACCGATGGGCTTTCAATGTAAAAATTCTTCTCAAAGGGAACCAAATTTCTAAAATCTTGCTTGGGAAGTGCTATGTTGTCCAAGTCATCCTTGGAAGATCCACCATGTCTTCCTCCTCTCCCTCCGCCACCATCACCACGGCCACGGCCACGGCCACCACCCAATCCAGCGGCTCCACCGAATCCTCTAGCTCCAGCCCCACCTCTCCCCCAAGTCTTATCCCCGTGAGACCCACCAAATCTACCACCTCCCCGGCCTCCCATCAAACTGCTGCCCCGATCTCTTCCACCCCCGCGACGACCTATGTCATCTTTTCTATCACCAACATAACCGTTTCCGTGTCTACCACCGAATCCTCTTTGGCTAGTCCCACCTCCGCGACCTATGTCAAAGCCTCCAGGAGGTGGCATAAACGGCGGCAACTCATTATAATTTGGGGCAACAGGTGCCGTTCCAAAAGCACCCCCAGCTCCTCTTCCACCCATATTATAACCAACCGGTGGAGGAACATGAGGAGCAGGACCTCCGCGGCTGTAGCTCGAGCTGGCACCCCCAATCACTGGAGGGACCATCGGCGCCATAGATCCAACTAAATCACTGCATTGAGAAGAAGAAACAAGCGTTGAAGAAAAAAGAAAAAAGAAAAAAGAAAAAGCAAAGTACATGTAAAAGGCGAGTATATAGGATGCCAAGATCCACAATTTACCTCCTGCGGTTGCGATAAGAAGTCGAGTCAGTATATCTGTTGTCGTAAGGATTCATATTCAGATCCTTTTGGAGTTAGCAATCACGACTAAGATTGCAGAGAAGAAACCTAGGGTTATCGAAGTTTCGGTGCGGTTCCGAAGACCACCGAAGGCAAGTCTCTTCCGTCTGTTGTTTTTCAAGAATCAAAATTCATGGCAGTGTTTCTGCCCTCAAGCGTCGAGAGGATTACTTGCGGTTCCGAATTGTAATTTGAGCGCGGAGAGAAACGAATTTGAGAATCAAAATTTCACCCAATATATGTGATGCTCGGAAAATATCTGACGGGTGACGACCGATGCTCATAAGAACGCCAATGCGTGAGCCCAATAAAAATACTTCTGTCTTATCTTTTTCGAGATTTTGATTTGATGATTATTAAACATTCGTACACTTGTCATCGTATATATTGTCCCCAAAAAATTACTGTCTACTAATCTTTAATTTCCTAACACTGTATTTGGAAGATATTTTAAAAGGGGAATGAAATGGGGTGGGTGACTAAATGTTTGAAGTTATTTGTTCGTGGGGGGTTTTTTTTTTCTAAAGGGATGGAATGATAAAGAGGGGCTTTAAAGCCCTCATTTACCCTCCATAATTCCATTTTTTGTCTTCTAAAGTTGGGATTAAGAATGGCGTAGTATAATATAAAAAAGTTTTCCTTACAAAAATATTATTATTATTTAAAATATATTTTTTATAAAACTAATATTAGAATCAAGAATAATTTTTAAAAATTCAAATAAACAACATTTGTCAATTATTTTTATGTAATAATAAGTTAAAAATAAATTTTAAATTTTAAAAGAAACTTGAAAAAATTCAAATTTTGGCCAATGGACATTCAAATAGAGTTAGGCCCGAAAGGTCAAGTTTAAAGATCCTGTCTAAATAAGAGTTTAGATTTTAAAAATTAAATTTTTTAAAGTAACTGAGCTTGAAGGCCTGGCCTTGATAAGTCCTACAAAAACGAGTTCGGGCTCGAGCGACCTTTCAATCCCTGATAAGCCTAGATATCTTATACACACACACGTACATACATATATTTGATTGATAATGACACAATTTGGTTAATATTTATTGTAAGTAATAAAAAAATTATAATAATAATTGACATTGAATTCTCACATTCATCTTCAACAAGTGAATCTATATCTGAAGAACCTAATATTTTATTTTTATATGATGATGGGAGGATTTAGATTTACATTGATGAAAATTTTAATCTTCATTTTAAATTTCAAATTTTAAATTTTTGTTGAATTTTATATGAGACTTTAATTTGTTTCATGTTGAATTTTATAATATTATATTTAAATTAAAATGTTGAAGTTTTTTTTTAAAAAGAGGGCTTAAGGGCCCAGTCCTGAATTCTTTAAATAAACGCTAGGCCTTAGAATTAGATCTAATTTTGGATAATCGGGCTTTAGAGTCTAAGCCCTTAAGGGTCGAGCCTGTAAATACTAAGCTCTTAAGAATCGAGCTTACCCTGATTCCCACCTCTACATTTAAGTATAGTGTACAATCTTACCTTTTGTCATATTTTTCTCACTCTTACCATCTCTCTCTCCCTGCTTTCAACACTACAACTTTGCTGTATATTCCTCTTTGTACAACAGGTATGTTTGTTTGAGCAGCCTTGCTACTTGCTTTTTCTTTTTATTCTTAATTTTTAGGTATTTTATTTGACCATTAATTTTAATTTTAATTATTATTTTTTTGTTAGACAAATATTATAATTATTTAATGGGCATTATTATTTTTTTTAAATTTAGTCATATGGGTACTATTGGAAGGAAAAAGTTTAAAACCGTTTCGTTTCATTCATTTTATAATAACTCTCAAACAGTGGTTATGTAAAGCCGTTCTTTTTCATCATAAAATTTCAAACAATGAAAAATTTTATTTTATTCTACTCCATTTCATTTTATTTTATTAATAATTATTTCTTTTCATTCAATTTTGAACTCTCAAAATGCACTCTAACAATATAGTAATTGTATTGTGTGTACTTTTTTTTTTTCACGCATCATTAATCCAGCCAATAATGCTTACTTGACATCGTTAATCTTTCCATTGCATGATTTCCATCTTGTAACCGAGAAATCCCATCTCGTAAGGCTAAGTCTACCTATCATGATTGTTTTGAGATTTACCCCCCTTCCTTTTTTGTTTTACAAAGAATAATTAGGCAAATGTGTATTGAGAACATGGCTTAACAAGTTTGTTTGTCAATGATTTTTGTAATCTAGTGGTTAGTAGTGTGTAAATTACCCTGCAAATGAAAGATTGTAAATTTGATAGCCTCCCATATTTTAAGTAATTTTTAATTTTGCCCCCATGCTTTTCATTCCTGAATTCATCCCCTAATCTCAAGTGATTTGTCCTATTTGTTTGACTCCTTTGAAAAGTTAATAGAAATATAGCAACCGCAGAAAAAGAAAGATCAAAATGTTTGCCTATATTTTGAAAGTTCGGCTAATCTAGCAAGTATTAAGATGTTAATTAAGTTAAGATTGACACGGTTTAAGGATAGAAAAGTTTTAAAACTGTGACAAAAATAATATTAAAATTAAACTCAAATTTATTCAGTCAGTGAACTCATTATCAAAATTAAACTCAAATTTATTCAGTCAATGAACCCTCTAGTGAGTTCACTGACTGGAGGTATTATGGATTAGCTAGGGGACCTGTTATGTCTCATCTCGAAAGGACTTAAGGGAGATCTTATTTATATAAATGAATGTGTTGTACATCTCAATAGATTAGTATTGTGGGAGAATAATTATCTCGTGACGAATAACTTTTCATACGACACGCTATGGACAGCCGATGCTTCTTCTTCATATACAAACCAGCAAGAGCAATTTTTTCCGATTGGATGATCAGCCATCAAATTCTAAGGCTGAAAAGAAAATGATAACATAACATTTACATTATTATTACATTTCTGCAACCAAATAGTCACACTCCCACAAAATAAACCCAATCAAAATGAAAAAAATTTAAAATATTTGTGAATGACAACACACAGCACTAATCGAATAATTATTCGCTTACTTCATTCATGCGCCCTGGAATGAATAGGAGATTAAATTAGAGTTAGAGCCACAGACACAGAGAGAGAGAGAGAGAGAGAGAGAGAGAGAGAGAGAGAGAGTTCAAGAATTGTAAAATGAAACAACATCCAGAAAATGTCAGCAATTAAATGGACTTGCCTGAAAAGCAGAGGCAGGACAAGAATCTTCCTGAGGAGTGGTGTCTGTGTTGGCTGCTCTTCAGAACTTCATTTCCTTCATAAACCAAAGCTACATCACAGAACTCGGGAGCATTGTGCTTCACTATTTCCCCTCTGCTCAATTTGGTCTTCCCCCTGCAACACCAATTCATTTGTTTCATGGCATGCCATAATCAAAGCTCCATAAAATCCAAGCACATATACCATGATTGGGGAGGCTTTTTTATTCCCATGACGAGGTTTTTTATGTTAAGAACATAAATAAGTTCCAGAATTGCTTTGGCTGTATCATTGCTCTCCAGATGCAACGTTTCTGCACTCACCTATATGAAAAAACAACGTCAGAGGAATAAATAAAACTTGAGGCGAGACTTAGAAACAATGCAAACATTTCTGAATATCCATGCATATACACCTGAGCGTCATTACTCAACTGCAAGTACTTCTGCAAAATGTTGTTCCTCCTGTTGATCTCTTCATTCTCATGACTTGTCACTTGTTGTTGGTCTAATTGGCTTCTTGGCAAGTTTCCCACTGCCACACAGAGAAATCGGTGTTCAGGTTACTTAAATTCTTGATATACATTCTGATAGTTGCAATCAATCAATATAATTGCCACATCAGAACATAGCTGATTTTCTTCCAAAACAAACACAACAATCAAAATAAGACAAGTTATTCCAATGTTGTTCAAGCACAGAATGCAAATATGAGTGAAGAGATCAGAAACAGTGAGTGTGGCTAGTTATTACGTGGCGTAGGAATCAAAGCGAGTGGAGGAGAAACATGGATAAACAAAACCCGAGAACTAGGAGAGACAGCATGATCCAGAGCCCATTTTACGACGTCCATGTCATCTTTCCCAACAGCCACGTAAGTGTCGTCTGCTCCACTTTCTTTGCCAACTGTTTTGTTCTTTTCATCCTCAGGTACCTCCTCTATTTCTGATGACACAGGTTGTCCATGGTGATGCTCCTTCTTAAGGTCGTCTTCATCGCCAGCCTGATCGATCATGTCATTCAATACCACAAGGTCGCCTTCCCTGGGAGTTTTTGGTGTAAGAATTTCCTTGAGGTTATAATTGTGATCTGAATTGTGTTTCGTAGCAGCAAGAGGGGTGCCATTAACAGCCTGCTCATGTTCAGACCACCATCGTTTTCTGGTGTAGTAATCCTTGGCTTCTGCTGGTTTGGGATATTCTTCACGGTCTTCCATGTCTCTGAATCTCTCCTTCTGTGACATCAGAAAAGAAGGATGATGGCAGAGAGATATAATGAATTTTCTCTGATTCCAAATTGGCAGTTTTCAACAAGGGTTCGTTGAAAGCAAAGCCCGGGAAAAGAGACTCTCTTTTCTGTCAAGATTTGCATAGTTCTTTGGTTATGTCAAAATTGTCCTTTTTGGTAGTACAAAGTCTGTTTTAGCTAGCAGCACAACGTCTTACTTTGCATGTCTAGTTAGAGATTAAGAAGGAATAACCTGGTATTGCTTTGAAACTTTAAATGGTTCGTTGATATCCATGATCCAGTGCCTGAGCCATCCTTAGGCTGCCCTGTATATATTTATTCTAATTTCACCATATGGTCAATAAAGTTAAAAGGCTTGAAGCACATTGTCCAAGCATTCAACTATTTGAAAGTGGGATATAAAATAGACCAGATTCATTTTATAATTTAATGGTTAATAAATAGCTAATCAAATCTTTTACAGCAATACTCTTGGCTTATTCTGTTACGGTAGAGTAGTATCTCGCATAGTTTTGTCTTGCAAATTGACCTTGATTAATTTATTTCATGAATTATGGCAAACATGTGAACCAAGTTGCTTGAGTGAAGGTAGAGCCTATATGCTTCATCAAGTGATTCTTAACTGCACACTCTCGTAGACAAATAATACTAAGTTAGAGATTAATTGTTTCAAGGCTTTTCTAACCTTCTGATGTTTTCCCTATTCATTAAAATAAATATGTTCATTAATCTTGTAATCTACACCATGCCTTCTGATGTTGTATTTATATTGTTAACAACAAGGGAATATTAATTTCAAGCTATTTAAATAATATATACTCCCTCCTATCCTAAATTTAGGAGTTAGATTATTAATTTATTAATATTAAGAAAATTATTTAAGTTAGTTATTTGTGAAAAAAGAGTATGTTGATTTTCTTAAGATATTTCTTTAAATCATTTGCACTAAAAGCTAAATTTATTGAAGGAATCTCTCATTTAATATGTGTAACCAATAAGGATAGTTTGAGAAAAATTATAAATTTCAAATACCAAATTAAAATCTTACATTTAAAGTCAAAACCCTCAACTTTTTAAAATTTTACTCCTATTCTAGTCATTTCCCTTAGATAAGGAAGAAACACGTATTTTTGCACGTGTTTAAATATATCAATATTGGATTTAAACTCAAAACTTCTTTCAAATAACAAAGATAGCATTACTATTAAGACAATCAAGGGCCTATTTAATTTTATTACATTCCACATTTCAAAAGTCATTCCCCACTTTTCAAATGTTAAATGTTGTTTGAGTATTGTAATAGATGTAAATGGACTTTTTAAAAGGACTTTGAAAAAGAGAATGAATGTGGATGTAACAGCTTACAATTTGAGAGCTTTTGAAAAGCACTTTGAAAAAAGGTATCGAAATTTATTTTATCATTGACCATGTTGCCCTTCAGTGCAATGCAAACCACAAGTCAAATATCAAAGAGCATGCATTTTCATGATCAATTCCAAATGTAATTTCAAATGTGGTTTCTGATAGAAAAATGGATAATGTTTACAATTTTATTAAAGATCAAATTGTATATTATAGATCAATATTAATAAATATTAAACTATTTATTATATAATTTTTCCAATATTAAAATTTATATCTTTTATTCTTATTATTTAACATATTAAATTTTATGTTACTTTAAATTTTTTTCACATTTTTAAACATTTTTAATATATTACATTTGTATAACAAAAATTAAAAATTATTATAAATTAATATCCTTTTTAGTCATTGTATATTTAAAAGTACATTTTAAAAGTATAAATCATTATTAATCCAAACAATTTTTAATTTATCAAACTAACTTTTAAAAAAATATATACAAACATAAATTTTATTATGACAATTAATTTTTACTAAATTGACTTTTACTAAATGAATTTTCAGTAAATAAACTTTTAACAAACTGAAAATTAAATATACACTAAATATTATTTTAAATGTGAAGATATCTTTTGAAAAATTTTCAATTTAACAACTACTTCTATATTTGGCATGGTATAATTAATCTCATTGCTCAATTTATTATATCCCACTTTCGAGTTTCGAGACACCAGAGCCACTGGTTTCGCCACCCAAAACACACGCTAAGCGTGAAGGCCGAACATGATTAATGATTTACTTGTTGAAGATTTTAGCCTCTATCATTTGACAATCTTGAGGGGTATGTTACCGTATGGCTGGGGGTAATTAATAGGCACCCAACAACTTGATTTATTGAGATGCTCTCCGTGTAGGCCTCCACTAATCGAAGCAACAGATTCCACGCTAAGCAGTACATGATTATCACTATAGCTTATCAAAAACGCGAATCCAGAACAAGACATCCCTCTGCAATTATGGACGCGAAGATTAATGATCGAGTGAGGATAACAAGGTAAAAAAATCTTTCGTTTTGTACATCTGAACTTGAACAACAACATGTCTAGCGTCTTTACTCCATGTACGTCTGCTAAATTTAAGCATGGTTTTTCAGCTACCTCCTTGTGAATTGTATATTTCTCTGTATCGTGCTCAAGTGTTTGATGAGTCGCCTCAATGGAATTTTTACCTCAGTTGTGTCTTGGTGAAACTGCTCTGTTTTATTCTACTTTGCTGCATCATATGATAAGTAAATTATCGTCAGGAATAAGTCAATTAATCAATAATTACTATTGTTGTGGTTGATATTAGATGATGGGTGAATATTAAAAACTTTATTCCTCTATCGTGTTCCAACAGCATAGCTGGTGGCTATAGTTTCTGATCTGTTTGTAATTAAGTGTCTGTCCTTCAATGAACAAACATGTGATATTTCTCCGCCACGTATTCAGTATAGATAATGGATCCTTTGATTGCAGATTGACACTAATGGATAGCCACAAAAGCCTGTCATTCCTTTGTTTTGCGGAAGAAAGTTAGAGAAAGAAACAAATCCTAAGTTAGATTCCCATAATGTTGGGTTGGACCATGAATCCACTATCCTTTCCTTGGACGGACCATTAACCAAACAAGATGATAATAAGTCAATAACATACAGCTGCCAGCCTACCAGATCAACACTTGAATATGATACGGTGACAGATCAGAAGTTTGGATCTTCTGATTTTTATTTTGTTGACCAAGAATCTTCTAATTTTCTTTGCTCCATTTGTTGACAGTTTTAGAAGCAAAACACAAAATATATGCACTTATCTCTCTATTAACTTGGCAAGAAACGGAGAAAAAAATTGGACAGAATCTAGATCAAGGTTCTTAGAATCAAACCAATCGTCGAACTCGTGTAAGTTTCATTCATAATTTACTAGTCTCACTGTAATTAATCATAATCAAATCAAAGGAAATTAAATATATCAATAAATAATAATATTATCAGCATTTCATGTAATATTACAAAGATATTGACTAATATAACAAAAAGAAATATTTTAAAGGTTATTTTATGATCTAATAAAAAAATAAGTGGTTAGATTTTTAAAACGGCTAAGAAGTTTTAAAGATATGAACTTTAAAATTTTAAACTTCTTAATTCAAAAATATAGGCATTTCAAATTAGTTTTGATTGATTTGTGGGTATAATCAAACCAAGCAAGAGAGAGTAGCTTATTCTGATCATCTTAATGTTGAGTAAGTACAATAAGGTGATTTGTTACTATAACTAAAAGCTATCAGAGATAAGAGAGAGACCAAAGAAGATTGAAAAATGCCATGTCTATTACTATTATGATGGGTATAATATAAATACAAGGAGGAAGAGATAACCTAATGATGACTATTTACAATAATATCTTATCAAATAATATCTCTCAATAATGGCATAATAAATATTAATATATCTTTAGAATATTCTATATAACATCATCCTCAAACTCAAGATAACTTAACAGAGAATAACTTAAGTTTATTTATTAGAGACTAAAAGCGTCCTAGATGAGCTTGGTTCAAATTGGAAGAAGTCGAATGGTACCCTAAACAACATGCTATCGAGTAAAGTGATGGTCAATCTCAATGTATTTGGTCCACTTTTGAAACATATCATTGTGAGCAATCTTGATTGCAACTTGACTATCATAATAAATGTCTATGAAGGAGCTTTGAGATGTTCCTAACTCATCAAGGAACCAACAGAGCCAAAGTAACTCAACGGTAATGTCTATTAGTGCACAGTGTTCAAATTCAGCACTAAAGTGAGAGGCTAATGTTTGTTTTTTACTTCTTCAAAAGATAAGGGAATGACCATGGAAGATACAAAAACTAGTCGTAGACTATCGATCATCATGATCACCACTCCAATCGGCATTAGAGTAAGCCTGCAGTGAAAGAGAAGAGCTAGCAAAGAAGTGAAACTCATGATACAGAGTGCCTCTAATATACCAAATGATCTGAAGAACTGCTAAATAATAAGTTGTGTAAGGGTTTGACATAAACTGGTTAATAATGTAAGCTGCATAAGCAATGTTAGGATGGGTGATAGCATAAATAAGTCCCCAACTAACTGGCGATAATGGGTGGGATTATTCAATAGGGTGTCATCAGTAGAAGTATAGTGAATATTCAATTCAATAAGAGTAGTTTCAACCTTTTCATCAAAGAGGTGAGCTAAGGATATCAAATCGATGGCATACTTGATCTGAGAGAGATATATACCATTACTCTCATGGTAGACCTCAAGTCTAAGAAAATAGTTCAATCTACTAAAATCCTTCATTTCAAATCGTTAGCCCAAGTATGTCTTGAGTTTTTGAATTCTCACATCATCATTACTTGTGATAATCATGTTATCAATATACAATAACAACATAACAATATCATGAGTAATGGAGCAAACAAAAAGAGCTAAGTCATGAGAACTGTGAGTCAATTTGACTCATAGTGTTACTAAACTTAGCAAACCATGCATGAGGAACCTTCTTGTGCCCATATAGAGCTCAACAAAGATGACAAACCTTATCTTTCAGATGTTGATATCTGGGTAGGGCTTCATATACACTTCTTCTTCTAGATCTCCATTTAGAAAAGCATTTTTAACATTCATTTAATGAAAATGTCGGTGCTTAATAGCAACAATGGTTAAAAAATTATAAATGAAAGTCATATAGGCAACAAGTGCAAAAGTCTCCTTATAATCAATAGCATACTCCTGAGTGAATCCTTAAGCCACTAAGTAAGCCTTACGTTACTTCAAAGAGCCATCGGAATGAGTATTATTTTTGTAGATCTATTGACACCAAACCAAAGTTTTATTAGGAGGAAGATTAACAAGATCTCAAGTATGCATTTTTTTCCAGGGCCTATAATTCCTCATCCATAGCTTACTGCTAGAGGAGATCAAGAAAGGCTTCCTTAATATAAAGTTAATATAAAGTTTAAGAAACTCAAATTGATGTTTTATCTTATAGATAAAGGTAAAACGAGAAAAGTCATCAATAAAAATTACAAAATATCAAGATCCCTTATAAAAGGAGTAGGTGCAAGACTCCAAATATCAAAATAAATCAAATCAAATGGAGAAGTAGCAATGGAATCATTTTTATGAAAAGACGAAGTAGGTTGTTTAGCAATCTGATAAGAAATTCATTATAAAGACTAATTATGAACAGAGCCTGAAGGATCACTAGAAATTAAAGGCCGTAATTTACTCAAAGAAAGGTAATCAGGATGACGATGCCATAAGTTAAGAAAGGAATCAAGAGAAAAGGATGTGGGGGCAGTATGTAATGTGGGAGTAATGACCTTAGGTAGGTGCATTAAGGTGAGCTTAAACATATAAATAGCTTTGCGCCCAATCCTGACAACTTGTCCTGTTTGATAGTCCATTCTAACACAACCATGTTTTCTAAATAATACATCATAACCCATATCAACAAGTTATCAAGGTTAAAGCTAATGGTAGGAACAAAATGTATCATGAATAGATAGGGAAGGCAAAGAGACAATACCAATGTGACTAACAGGCATTTAACGGTTATCAGTAGCATGTATAGGATAGGCAGTAGAGTTAGGTGTCATAAAGGAGAAGAAATTTGCTTGACCTATCATATGATTGCAACAAAAAGAGTCAAAATACCAAGTAAAAAAAGGTAATAGATGGGCTAGAGGAATGGGAGATGAGCGTGTGCGGCAAAGTTTTAAGTTTAACCAAAAAAGATCCCAAAGTAAATTGAATCTCAAGTGCAATAGGGGAGGATCCTAAAGGAGACGGAGCAAGATCATATTTTTTTCAACCAAAAGCAGTAATTGCAACTATTTAAAGTGACTAAAATGGTTTAAACAACCTTTGGATTTGCCATTTTTAAGTCAGAGAACCATAAAAGCACCAATAGAAAAAATTCAGATATCATAAAATAGGAAACCAACTGCAGGTACAAGGTTGTGTTCCACAAAAGTTGTAGTAATAGAATAACTTCCACACCAAGCAACGAATAGACAATCCAATTATTGAAAATGACAGACTATGATAGAGAATGCGGAAGCAAAATTGTACTAGTTTAGAGATAGAACCCTAAAACACAATAAAAACACAAGAACAAAATGAAAGGGACAAAATTTATGACGAAAATAAAGAAAGAAATGAAATAAACAACGAGGTAATAGTCAAGGATAAGATCCTTTAGAGCACCTGCCTCTAAGAACCTCAACCTTCAAAGATATCATAAGAGTTAATCACGCTCTTAATCACATATGTTTCTCACATGAAATGCTACCATAAAGCACTAAGGCTCACAAGAGTTATAAACTCTAAAATGAATAATTTTATTCAACTTCTTTTTTCTTTACAAGAGGGAGCATACCTATTATATATAAGTTCATAGAGAAGACTATTTCCTAAAATTAAAACCTTAATTTCCTAATACTAAAAGGAGAAAGAAAATAATATAAAATAAAGAAGAAAATATTCAACCATATAATTGAGGAGATATGATCCTAAAATTATGAAATTACAAAATGTAAAAATTAAAAATAATATAATTAATTATAATCTTTAACTTAACTTAAAATAAAAAATTATAACTAGTCTTGCTCCTTAGGAAAGGAAGTCAAGTCAAAAGACTACTAAAATTAAAAACAATTAAAGAGACAATTAAGGGATCAAGGACTCAAAATCATGCCACCTTTAACTTCTTTACCAGGGTTTCATACCTCCTTGCTTGCAAGAGGCTCCACTTATAGTCTTCCTTGCATTGGGCTAAGGTTTGTACCTCTTGGGCTTGATTCTTTGTAGATTTGGATCTTAAGCACATCATACAAGTCTAGATGCTTTCCTTTAGGCTTGAGAGAAGTGCCCCAATGCTCTCCAAGCTCTTAGACTTTTTACACAAGACTGAACAAGGCTTGCTTCATAGCTTTAGTTCAGGCTCTTGTCATTAGATCTCCAATATGCTATGAAAGATCTTTAGGCACATTGGATTAAAAGTGTTGGGCTCTTTACTCCTTGCCCTGGGCTCTTTTCATGCCACCATACTCATGATTATCATCCTCAAACTTCGTTGCCATTAATACCATGTCATCTGTGCCATGGGATCCATCAAACTAGATATTATAAACTTGTTGACCAAATTTCAGCCTAATCCAACAATTAGCAAATTTGCAACTTTCACTTATCGAGACTGCCATGTAAAGATGTAAAAATGACTTTCTCTCTTATTTTCTCACAAATGGTTGCACATCAATTTGAATATCAGGATGGAGGTTAGAAACACTAAGGAAGGATGTCACTTTTTGGAAACTTACTTTTCATCCAAAAAAAAATTCTATGGCTTTGGTACCATGAAAGCTATTAGAGATAAGAGATTGGAAAATGTCATGCCTATTACTATTGTAATAAGTGTAATATATAGAAGGAAGAAGAGATAACCTAATAATGACTATTTACAACAATATCTTATTAAATAATACCTCTCAATAATGGCATGATAAATAGTAATATATTCTTAGAATATTCTAAATAACCATTATGTATGTAATGGCATGATGGCTAAATGTCGAAGATTAATGAAGAGCCCTACAAATTAGATAAAATTAGAAAACTGATAGTCGAAGATTAGATATTGGAATTCACTTTGCATGAAATTTTGACAGCATTGGCTCGATACAGAGAGTGCTTTGAAGGCGACAGGCACTTAAGGGAGTTGGTGGGACTTAATCCAATCTTCTAACCTCCGAAAGGAAGCTGCTTTTCATCAGAGTCCTTTATATATTGATACTTCCCTTTCTAAATCAGGCCAGCCAACCGCACAGCCATCTTAGATCAGTCAGCATGTCAAGTTCCAATCTTCCTTCTGTTTTAACATATCTTATGATTATCGTATGTACAGTCTGGACTTCTCTTTGGGTTCTGAAGCCTACGCAATTGTGGACAAAAAGATGGAAAGATGCCGAAGATAGTGCCAATAAAACTGTGTTTGGCTACTATGGTAATCACTTGATCTTGGACTTTGGAAGTCTTGCCATAAAATTTTGCGAGTCCAGTAGCAAGTGATATTGGATATTGCAGGTTTGAACTATGCTGCGTATACATTTCCTATAATTGCCGTCACTATAATAGGACTTGTTTTCTTGGATTTAAAGTCTGGAGAACGAAGAAGCAGGTAACATGATGCGCGACATTTCAATTTACTGCTGTTGAACATTTCGCTTCAAAATTTACTTTGTTGATATTACAGTAAAGCAAGGAGTCTGTACACTGTCCTCTCAAGTCCACTTGTGGTGAATAGTCTTCTGGGAATCCTATCCAGTATTGAGATACTGCTAGTTTTTCTTTTCATCCTCTTCTTAACATGGACCTTTTATGCTCGCATCTCTAACGACTTCAAGAAGCTGGTACCTGATAAATCACTGAAGCTGGACTTGTAAGTGCTCTTATGTAATCTTGATGCTTTCTCTATTATGTTGGATAGTTAAAAAGAATAAAACAAAGATCTTGCCTTCATTTCAGATGGGAACTCAAGTATCTCAGAGTAGCAACCAGATTTGGCTTGCTAGCAGAAGCCTCCCTGGCTTTGCTTCTTCTTCCTGTCTTAAGGGGTTTAGCCCTGTTTCGAATACTTGGCATTCAATTTGAAGCTTCAGTGAGATATCATACCTGGGTTGGAACAGCAATGATATTTTTCGCTGCAATCCATGGAGGAAGCACTTTGCTCATCTGGGCTGTCAGCAGCCACATACAAAACGAGGTGATTCCTAAGCATGTTACCATTATCTCTTCTTTCAATCTGGTAAAATGCTCGTGCTTTCAATTTTGTCCTCCACGTATCATTTCTTTCAATCTAGAGTAAGAGACTGAAACAAAAGAAATGAACCATGAAGGATAAAATGAGAAATGTAAAATGGCGTTTTCCCGTAGTAACAATTGTTTAAGTTCGCATCCCTTTTAACTCCCGTTTCCTCTTTCACCTTTTATTTTTGTCTTTCTTCAACCAGACATGGAAGTGGCAGAAGACAGGACGAATATACCTCGCTGGGGAGATTGCACTTGTTACGGGGCTAGTTATCTTGTTCACTTCACTTCCTCGAGTTAGAAGGAGAAAGTTTGAAATCTTCTACTACACCCATCATCTGTACTCAGTATTTCTTGTATTTTTCTTGTTTCATGCTGGAGATAGGCACTTTTACATGATCTTCCCAGGAGTAGTTCTTTTTGGTCTTGACAAAATCCTTCGTATCATACAATCAAGGCCAGGAACTTGCATCGTTTCAGCCCGAGTTTTCCCTTGCAAAGCTGTGGAGCTCATTCTCCCCAAAGATCCAAGTACTTAGCTCCTTTCCATAAAGTAGTGTCTTTAAGGAATATAGAGATCAGAAAATACCTGAGGTTCTTGTTTCTGTCATTCGCAGGACTAAACTATGCTCCCACAAGTGTGATATTTATGAAGATACCAACCATATCAAATCTCCAATGGCACTCCTTCAGTATAACATCTAGTTCCACTGCCGATGAACGAAAGATGTCCATGATAATTAAATGTGAAGGATGGTGGACGAGTTCGCTTTTTAACATGATACATGCTGAGCTGGGCAGAGATTCTGATAAGATGAAGGGTATACCTGTTGCAATTGAAGGACCTTACGGACCTGCGTCTCTGGACTTCTTGAAGTGAGCAAAAAACATTGTGCCAAGCACTTTTTCTTAATCTCTTTTATTTTATACCATCTTTAAACGTTTGGAGAAGTATTTCTGCAGATATGACAGTCTACTTCTGGTTGCTGGAGGGAGTGGAATAACCCCATTTCTGAGTATTTTGGCAGAAGCTTCCTCAGCCACCAGCACTAGTAGATTCCCCTCAAGGATACAACTTGTGTATGTCATCAAGAAGGCACAAGACTTCTCTCTGTTGCATTCAATCTCCCACCTGTTGCTCAACGAGTCGCCTGGAAAGTGTTATTTGAAGCTAAAACTATTTGTAACTCGAGAAAAACAGTCAGGCGTGACAGTTAGAGACCTGCTGAATGAATTCTATGAAGTAAAAACTTTGCACTTGAGCAGAGAGTGTTCGAATTATGCAGTACACGGGCCAGATAGTCCAACTTGGACGGCTGCCATTTTAGGATTTTGCTCCACCATTTTTCTTATTGTTCTTATTTGTCTCAACCATATAATTCCACCTGAGAAGGGATCCGAAAAGTCCAAAGACAAGACTCCCTCTTGGGTTGTGGATATGCTTCTTATGGCTTCTTTTGTCATAGCTTTAGCTTGCAGCACCTTGATGGGAATCTTTTTGAGGTGGAGAAGGCTGCAGAAAGGGATTCCACCAACCTCCCAGAAAGAATTTAAGCCCCTCGATTTAATTTCTACTGAAACCAGGAGTACCTTTGAAGAACATGAAGTCCATTTTGGGGGACGACCAAACTTTCAAGGTACTGGTTTCATTTTTTTTTTTTTATACATTTCCAACTCATTCTACTATTTTAAATGAAATGAAATAAATTCACCTACAACTGTCGGATGCTTGGCATCAAATTTGTCGATAAAATTATGCCATATAGAGTGGTATTTATAACAAATTGATACTGAATTATGAAATACCTTGATGCAATCTTGCGTTACGAAACCAGAATTGATATGGTGATTTGAATTGAACAGATATATTTAGGGAGTTTGAAAATGAAAGTGGGGGAACAAATACTGGCGTGTTGGTATGTGGACCAGAGAGCATGAAGGAGTCGGTGGCCATGATTTGCCAACAGAAATCCAAGTGTTTCAAGTTAGGTTCCAAGAAAAGCGAAGCCTTTACTTTGCACTCCCTCAACTTTACACTCTAGGTTCAATTACAATTTCGAGTGAATGTAAGCAATGAACACCCCAAAAAAAAAAAAGGAAAACGGGGGGAAAAATGACATGAATGGTATCTTGATGTGTATCTTTCTTTTAACAGGCAATAATTATCTGAATATGTGATAAGTTTAGAAACCAAGTTGTGGACACAATCGATAGACATGGGACCACGTTGCTTAATCAACTATCTCACTGTAAGATCAGTTTTCGGGGCGTGGTTATGTCACCATCTTAACTTTTCACAAGCAAAGCCTGCTTCCCTTTTCAAGAATGAGCTTCTCCATTCAATTCTCTCCTGAAAAGTCACTCTGTATGACCTAAGGTGAAGGCCGATGAAAAGTCCTAGCATGAATTTTTTTTTCTCCCTTTTTTTCTCTCTGACTCTAGATGTATTTCAGACAAAATTGTGAACATCAATGAAATCAATTAAATACAGCTTGAAAATCTTAATTTTTTGAAAAAAAAAAAGGGGATTAAAGACTTTTAAAACTACTCTTTATTTATAAGGGAAAGAGAAAAATAAAGATATTTAAAGAGTGAAATAATAAGGAGTAATTTTAAAATAAATTTAATTACTAAATTATTTTCTTTCTTAAAATAACTTATATTATGGAAAATGAAATCATTCTCAATCAGGAAAATAAAGTATCAAATCAGTAGAGAGGGGTTGGGAATATATGTTTTGCCATGAATTAATGAAATTCCACTTCATATTTAAAAAAATTGTGTCCTCATCTCCTTTGCCATTACATTACATGCTTTAATTTCACGGGTTGTTTCGGGTGTGGTTGGTTTAAAAGAAAAGAGAAGAGAAAAACGGGGGACAGTGTTTTTAATGTTATCTTCTGATTTTAGGTTTGGTTTGATTTTGAATTATGAATCATCCAAAATAATACATATACATTTAGTCACAATTTTTGGTCCCACTCTTTATTTATTTATGCTCATTTACATTTTAAAATTAATTGCAACTATAATTACAAGACCTTTTTTTCCTAGCAGGCTCATTCTTGAGCAATGTTTTCATAATCAAACTGAATATTAAATTAAAAAGGCCAACAATTCACAGTTTACATAATTTAATTAAGTTAGATCAATGGTTGAATTGATGGTATAATAATTAAATTAAAAAAATTATATATAATAACCTAAATATAAAAGTGTTACCAAAAAATAAAGTCAAATATTTTAAATTTATTATGACTTAATAACTCACATGATATAACATAATATCAAATGACTAAAAAAGTGATCATTTAAAAAAATTGATAAAAAAAGAAAAAATGATATTTTTTTAACAGTCTAATTTTTAAAAATCGAATAGTTCTCAACTTGATCCTGGAACTTAGTTCGAACATCAGTCTAAAGCAGCCCAATTCCCAAATAGTTTTTTCATGCTAACCTAATCAAAATCTAGACTAATTGATGCTTGTCTGGCGATCCAGTTTTTTAATCATCGTTCTTGAGTATCACTGAAAAAGTCATTGAAGGGTACTATTTATAATACATTTCATTATTTTTTATGTTCAACTTTATTCCTTATATTTTATTTATAAATCATTATAAATATATTTCACTTAAATCAAGAAAAACTTTAAAACTTATTAACTTTATTTAAAACTTTAATAAACTTAACTTTACCCTTATTAAATTTACATACTTTAATAATCTATTTTCTCTCTTGAACATTCAATGGAAGATAAAAAAATTGTGACAAAAAAATATTGACAAAATTTATAAAAAAGACCAATTTTTTTCCATTTCTACCCCATAAATAGGATAAAAAAGAATATCTTTTTACTCTTATTAAATACTTTCTTCGCTCAAATTATAGGACACTTTAAAAAAAATTATTTTAAAATATAAGGTACTTTAAATAGATTAAAAACTTATTAAATGCACCAATTTTAATATTATCCTTTCTTTTTCTATAATTAATTCTTGTTCTTTCTCTTTTTAATATATTAAATTATGGATATTTTAATAATTTATATTTTTATTTTAAAAAGATAAAGTTGTTAAATATATTTAATAATATTTATTGGTATGTAAAATTTTATCTAAAAATATTTTATAATTTGAGACTGAGGAAGTACTTATTAAAAAAATCATTAAAAATAATTGATCTTGCCAATATAAAAACTTATTAAATTTAGTGATAATAAAATTTAAAATTTCCTTTAATTCTCATAAAATAAAGAAAAAATTACAACAAAATCTCTTTAAATTATATAAATAATAATATAATAATAAATTATAACTTCGAATACCAAATCCATAATATTGCTATAAGAGTAATTTAATTATTTATATAAATTTATTAATGATAAAAAATTTTAAAAATTTTAATAAAATTATAATATTTTAAAATATTAAATTATTATTTATGTAACTAAAAAATTCTATTATTTTTTTTAAAAATATATTGGAGGTAATAAATAGAACCAAAAGAATTACTCTCTTTTTTAATCACAACAAAGTTAATGAATAGTCGAACACTACATTTCTTTACACCATATAAATATGCAATATTTACTGATTAAATAACAAAAACAACAGAGACAGTTACACCGCTAGCGTGGTCCCCTGCTGCGCCTCCTCTTGTTAGTCGCCGTCGCCGTCACCATTCACAGCGCCGCTCGCGCCCCGAGCTAACTCAGACAACGATTCCACCGGCGCCGCCCCGAGTTCCTCGCCCACCAAAAGCACAACCACCTCCTTCATGGTCGGCCTCCTCTGCGGATCAGGGTGACAACAAGCTAGACCAAGCTTCAAAATCATCTCCATGTCTTCCTCATCGTACTCACCCTTGATCCTTGTATCCGCCGCCTCCACTGCACTCCCTTTCGCATACAAATCCCTCACCCAATCAATCAGCACCACCTCATCTTCCGGCGCCGACGTCTCTATCGGTCTCCGCCCACACGCAACCTCCAACAACACCACTCCGAAGCTGTACACATCGCTCGCCGACGTCGGGGCAGCCACCGACGCCAGCTCAGGTGCCAAATACCCCAACGTACCGACCACCCTCGTCGTGTTTGGAACTTCACCTTGTTGATAAAGCTTAGCGAGACCAAAATCCCCCAATCTACCTCTCATATCCGAGTCCAGCAATATGTTGCTCGATTTAATGTCTCTGTGTATCACTACTTGATCCCAACCATGGTGTAGATAGTTTAGCCCTTCCGCGACGTCGACGAGGATCCGGCGACGTCGTTCCCAGCCTAGAAGCTTCGCTGGTTTGTCGAAAATCCATTTGTTCAGACTTCCATTGGGCATATAGTCGTAAACAAGCATGAGCTCGTTCCCTTTTCTGCACCATCCCCTCATCTGAACCAAATTCTTGTGTTGAAGCCTCCCCATGCTGGAGATCTCCGCCATAAATTCTCGTAATCCCTGCTTGGAATCATGGTTGACGCATTTGACTGCAATTTCTGTGTTGTTCCACAGTGTTCCTTTGTAGACTTTCCCGAATCCTCCTGAACCTAAAAGATTGTCATAGCGGAATTCATCAGTAGCCACGCTGAGCTCCTCATATGAGAATCTGTGGGGCCAATACTCTAGCTCCCAATCTTCAATTTCGTCCTCTTGGTCTCTCAATTTCTTGTTTCGCCACCACAAGTAAAACCCTGAACCACAAATCACCGTAAAAGCAACGCATCCAACCACAATTCCAGCAATCGCTCCTCCAGAAAGCTTCGAAGACGACGACTCTGGCTGAAAAACTGGTAAATTTAATGTGTTAATGTCTCTCGCAGGTCCACTGTCGCTAAAGCTCCAAGCTAGAAGTCTCTGTGCTTCAACCCAATTCGTCTTCGATGCAGAAAATCCAACATACATCTCCGCAGAGACGTAATTAGCTATAACGGGATTTTTATACGAAAGCGTGGGCCTTGATGGGCGAGGAACGCCAATTGGCGCAACCGTAACATTTATTTCCAAATTTGCTCCATCGAACTCTACCCAAGCTCGAACGTTTCGACCATTACGCATTCGAATAGGCACGAAACCACCAGTTGAATTATAGTAGCCAGCAGATCTTTTCTCGATGGATTCGATGTTGTTCAGATCAATCCCGATGTGGTTATCATCTGGATCGTTGAACTCTGGGTTCTGTCCGGTGTCGAATTCAACAGCGAACAGGGGAGAGACTGTGGGATGGGTGGCGTTGGTGAAGAGGCCAAAGTACTGACTGGCGAGGGCGCCGGGAGGAGACATGGTGCTGGTGAGGACGAAGGCAAGACCGAAACCTGGGCTGGTGGAGATCTGGGGCAAAATGGAGAAAACGAAGGAAGTGGAGAAGGAAGAAATGTTGGAGGAGTTTGAGTTTGGTTTCATGGTGATGGCGGTGGGGTAGAAGGATCGTCCAAAGGAGTACTGGTTGGAGTCGTTGGTCATGCGGATGACGGTGTGGTCGACGCGAGCGTCGCTGATGAGAGTGAGGTTGGTGCCATTGATGATGCCGTTGAAGGAATTGAAGAGGAAGTCAAGTGCAGAGCTGCGGGAGATCTGGACGAGGAAGAAGAGAAGGAACAGGATCGTCCCCATCGCTGCTGAACCCGTCGCCGTCATCGGCGAGGGGGAGGAGGGGGCGAGCAGGTGGGTGTGGATATGGTCAGCGCCATCAAGATTAAGGCACGCATCCAATGGTTTGTATTTAATTTTGACCAATAAAGAGCAGCAATACTGTTTATATGGGGGAGGAAAAATAAGACGAGACATGTTGGAGGGTTGCTGTGGTGGTGAAAATAAAATGATAAATAATGAATTGGACAATAGATTTGGACCTAAAGTCCTGCACACCTAAGTAAAAGTTGGTGCGGAGATAATTAATAATTAAAAATCTGATATGGTGGTGTAGATACGCTGGTGATAGTATGTTATCATTTCGCATTCTATGACGTTCTATGGACTTTAGAGTTGTTTAGACTTTAGATATTGCGGGCCGTGTTGTCTTATTTAACATATAGTATATAATATAGTGTCTGTATGGGTTTGTATGAAGGAGGCAGCTTCTTGCCTACTTCCCTTAAAAAGCAAATTGACCCAAAACAAAAACAAAAACAAAACAAAAATAGAACGTGGGTATGTTGAGAACTTTGCATTGGACAATGTTTGATAGAGTAAATCCTTTGCGTACATCCAGCTAAAGAGTCCGAATAGAAATTAATTTATTAGTGGTGAACAATATAATTCATATTAGATTATCAGAAGTGTGAGTGAAGAAAGTGGGTACGTAGGCATGTAAAATGCCTAAAATTGTGTGTGTGTGTGTGTGTGTGAGAGAGAGAGAGAGAGAGAGAGAGAGAGAGAGAGAGAGAGACAGAGAGATGTGTACAGAAAGCATGTAATGATCTCCTATAATGTGTATGTACGGTCGTAGATCTTGAAGCTTAAGCTTTTTCATTGTATATCTTGTAACTCGAGTTTTTGTCATGAAATAAAGAGTAGTGTCACATAGTCTAGTAATTTGAAGTCCCGCAGGGCAAAAACGAAAGAGGTGAAGTCTATAAAGAGGGACTACATCTCAACAGCCAGGGCAGACTATCTCATAACAAATTTTTCATGTATAAAATTCCACTGTGTTTTGCATATAAGTTCTCACTAATTTTCTTTTATTCTTTTGAAGGTTTGTGTTAATAATATTTTATTATTGTTGATAAAAATTTAAGTATGCTCTTCTTTTGCCTCAAAGATGTATTTTACAAATTAAATATGTAAAAACGGAATATTTGGCCAGAGCAGCCAAGTCATCATGTGTGGGAGCGAGAGGGTAGTTTGACTAGTGACGCGCATGCACACAGGGAGGTTTGTTTTCTCTTTAAATTAATATTTTTAAGAAAAGCAATTGGGCCCAAGTTGAGCCCACTAAGAAGGGCCAACTTAACCGAGGAATAGATCCACTGACGAAAACAGGGAAGGAAAAGAGAAGTTTAACCAGAACGAGGACCAAGTGGGAGTAGGAATGAATGGGCCATTAAGTTGATATTAATGCAATGCACTACATTAAATGTGTTTCCTTTTCAAATTCCCATCAAGATTAGTGCCGCATTTAATCTTTAATTTTATCTCGGACAGATTATACCTATGCTTGATTTTTTTTTTTGGTAATAAAACCCTATGCTTGATTAAAGAAGAAAGTGTTTCCTTTTGTACCAAAAAAAAGTGTTTCCTTTCCGTCTTTATTATATTAATAATTAATAATAATAATTGGGATAAGTAAACTTTCAATTCCCCAAGTTTGGCTCAATTATTAATTTAGTTTCTCAAATTTAATTTTGGATAAAGATGCATTTTTATTTTTAAAATATTCTTCAAAGAGCAATCAACATCTTAAATTATTGGTTAGAGCAATTTTAACTTTAAAATAATTAAAATAAAGTATTTTTGTCCTTTTCGTTAAGTGACTTAACGATCAACGTCGGAGTCATAGTTGATATTTTTAACAATCAAAATTTTCAAAATTTTGATGGCAACAATAAAAATATTTTTATTTTAATTACTTTAAGAAAAAAATTATTTTAACAAATAAGTTATTGTGTTGAGGACTCATCAGAGAATATTTTAAAGGCAAAATACACCTTTATCCTTTAATTTTTATTAGTTGGTCATTTATATTTTTTTAACTTATCATGTGAATCATTTAAATTTTAAAATATAAATTAATCTTTAAAATAACTTAATGTTTAAAGTACAATGATGGTATGCATATATGTTGGAGAGAACAAATTAAGTATTAACCGTCAAATCATTTTTTTATCAATACAGCCCTTTACATTGTATTTTATTCTTTTATTTTTTAAAATTTCATAATATTTTTTTACATAAATAATTATATATTTTTTATAAGTTAAAGATTATTTTTATTCATCAATTTTATTCTAAGAATATGTGGATATCGCAAATTTGACTATGAGACATTGTTGCTCTTTGTCACTTGAAATCTGGACAATCAACATTTTGACATCGAGTCACCTATGGTTTGTCGTTTCACATTAATTTTTTATATATTTTTTCTTCTCCCTCTCCCCTCTTTGTCCTCCCTCTCTTCGGTGGTTCCGTTACATCCTCAACAACCTCTAGTGGCTTTAGTCTCAAACAGTAAACAAGTTAGGAACTTCTAATATATCATTTTTCATGTTTTTTGCAATGTTTTAATTTGTTAATTTTTTTTTGAATCATTAATTTTTACATAAAATAAAAGATATTTTAATATTTTAATATCCTAAAATTGTGAATATTTATTTTTTTTTCAAAATTAAAAAGGCATATTTGCAGTGCTTTTCTTTTAAAAATTGTAAAAAAATGTAATTTTTTACCGTCTTGGAATATTAAAATATCAAAATATCTTTTATTTTAAAAAAATTAATTTTTTAGTCCTTCAACTTTTAACTCACTTATAACTCAGTCCCTCAACTATAACTCGCTGCAACTCAATCCCTCAACTTTTGATTTACCTATAACTCAATCCTTATTTTTTAATTTTTTTAAAATTTTTTATCAAATAAGAGGAATAAAAAAATGCTCATATATTATTTAAAAATACTCTCTTCTTATTCATTAATGTGAGATATAAGCTAATATGAAAAAAAAATTAATAAAAGTTAAGGGACTAATTTGTAAGTGATTCAAAAGTTGAGGGATCGAGTCATAGGCGAGTTATAATTGAGGGACTGAGTCACAGCAAGTTATAATTGAGAAACTGAGTTATAAATGACTTAAAAGTTAGAGAATTAAAAGATTAATTTTTTTTTATTTTATATGTAAGATAATGACACAATGAAAAAAAAAAAAGTTAGGAAGTTAGGGCATTATATGAGAGAAGGCACGTTGGGCCCTCACGCCCAATAAATTGAGCTTTTGATTCTGGTGCAAAGAGCCATGGGAGCCTCAAGGCAATTAAGACAATTGCATAGGGCCCAAAAAACAGTCATTAATATTCTTAAACGAAGGGATATGTATTTGTACAATTTTGTAATAAATGCTAAATGAAAAAATAAAGCCCTGGTTTTTCTCTCCATGAGAATAAAAACATTTACACATTTTCAAAATAAAATTTAATTATTGGGTTAGCCTTAATTTAGTCATTAATCATTATTTATTATCTTTTTACATACTACAATTATTTATATTTTATAAGATCCTTTAGTTCACAGATATGCACATAGATATTGTTATAAATCATTTAAAAGATTTTATTACTTATTTAAAGAATTATAAAGGAAATGGTTTTGCATCTACTTTAAAATTTACAAAAAAAAAAATATAGTTACTGAAATGAACACAAATCCTAATTTTCATGAAAAATATATAATTATAGAAAAAAATATTTTAATGAAAGTGTTAGTGATGAGCTCATATATTCAGTTGAAGATTATTTTTATATTAAATATTTTTTATACATTTTAGATCAATTAATTTCTTCTACTGAGAGTCGATTTGAACAATTTTTAGAATATGAAATTATTTTTTTATTTTTTATTTGAATCCAAAAAATTTAAAGCTTTAGATGATGATGAATTGAAAAAAAATTTGTATTAATATTGTTTTTAAGTTTTAATGACAATTATGATATTGATGGTTTTGATTTATTTTTATAATTAAAATTTTTGAGAGAAATATTAATAGAAGAAATTAACATACCAGCTGAAATATTAAACTATGTCAAAAGGTTAGATACTTTTTTAAATGTACTTATTACTTATAGAATATTATTAATAATACCTATAACAGTTGCTACTGCATAAAGAAGTTTTTCAAAATTAAAGTTGCTCAAATCCTATTTAAAATCAAATATGTTAGAAGATCGATGGAAATGGACTAGCCTTATTATCTAGGATTAATGAGCCAATAAGATCCTGAACCCTTGCTTGAAAATCTTCTTGGACCCGAAACTCTTAAAATATGTAAAATAAATTCTAAACTTTTAAATTTATAGTAAAATAAATATTGACAGATAACTTTTTTTAAACACCGTTATTGTCTATACGAGTATTGTAACAGTTAGGGTTAAATTCATATGAAAATATATCCTAAACAGTACCAGGTTAATGACTAAGGTTTATGTTGCTATAAATTTAAAAATTTAAGGTTTATTTTATATATTTTAAGAGTTTAAGATTCAATGTGATTTTCAAGCAATAGTTTATAATCCTATTTACTCATTAGTTCTATTATCTATTAAGACTGAAACATTAGAATTACTTAATTATAAAACTTTGTTACTTAATTTTGTAACTCAAAACGTTAGAAAAAGTAATATAAGGATTAATAATTTATTATACGTTAGGCTTTTTTATTTATTTTGTCTTAGGCCTTAAAACCTCTTGACTCCCGGCGCTCTGGTGCTGTGACTGGTTTCTCCCTTTCTCCTCTCCCCCTCTCCCCCCTCTCTCCTGCAAGCTACATCCGAGTCTGACTACGAGCCCGGAGCTAACGAGTATGCAGCTGACTGCAAGCTTGCCTCTCTCTTGCAAGCTTCATACTTGCCACGAGCATTTGTTGTGGTCACGTACGTCTTATGCTCTTTTCCATATGGTATCTCTTGTTATCTTTCAAAAAGATCATGATTAGATCCTTCATAACCTCTTTTTTGCTTTCTTAGGATGCTTCGCCTTTGTGCGTTTCTCTGGGTCATTATTTTATAATTTGGATCGTCTTTTTGTCTTTTCAAAAAACATTTGACTTTTGATAATAATAGAAGTCCACACTGATTAGCAATATCAGGCAAGCATTATATATAATACTATCAGATTAATGACGCTTTTTATTTATTCATCATCAGTTTGTTCTCTCTCCCACTACAATGATTCCCAACAAGATAATTATTGAGGACAGACCAGGCTAATGAGGATAAGGAATGCTAAAACAAACTGATCAGTTTCTTT